TTCACTTCGGCTATTTGCACTATGTTATCTCTGGCGTTCGTTTGTTTTTTTTCAAATGGTTTTTCTGTTTTTGTTTTATTATAAATATTGTGCCAAAGACTCGAAACACAAAAGTACATTTTAAACAGTGATTTGTTTAACTTTTTAGAATTTTTCGTGTTAGTCTCCAAAGACTATTAAGTTTTGCTTTAAATGTTTAATTATATTGTATTGAAATATTTTTATAAAAAAAGTTTTGTAAGAAAATTTTTAAAGAAAAGTTGCGAGAATTATGAATTTCAATATTTAAAAACATTTTAAATAATAATGTAGTTCTGTAAAAAAAAAAAAAAATTATTCGATTGATTTATCAAATTTTGTTCCCTTTAATTATAATATAATAATTATTGCTAAGAAAAAAAAGAAAGAAAAAAAATTTACACACATAAATACAACATTTGTAGGTTATATTACATGTATAAATTGAATTACACGCTGCATGTTTTTCCAAAAATATATATATTCACTTGGAAAAACATGCAGTGTGTAATTCAACTGATGGTTTGCCGATGGTTATATTTTGAGCGTGTAAATCCACACGTTTAACGTGTGCACAAAATTTCCCACGTCGGACGTTGTAAAATAACACTGACTTTTTTTACAGTGAATATACTACATCAACCAAAGATATACGCAATGATAGGTCCGTCAAACCAGCACCTCCACAATTAAAATTTAGAAATCGGACTACACTAGATTTTTGGGTTTTTTTAGGGCTTTTTTGGGCCCTATTAAGAAATTTTGGACTCTTTAAATTTTTCCAAAAATTTAATTTTTTTGTGTAGCTGTCAGTTTTTCAGAAATGACAATTCAAAAGACAAAACGTCTAGAAATAAAACACTAACGAAGAAATAAAGGTAGCATAAATCTAATAGCAACAAATTAAAAAAAAATATAACAAAAAAATTTTTTACTCTTTCTCAAGACGCAGGACCTCAATAAATTCTTTTGGAAAATAATCATTAGACTTCCAGAAAGCAATAAAAAAATCAAGAAGAAAAAAAACGCTGGGGTTTTTGAGAAAATTTGATTTTAATTTTTTTCGAAAAATCGCCGCCATTTTGTTAAATTTTAATATTTTTTAATTTAACATGCGGGATTTAAAAGAACGTTTAATCCAGAATTAGGAGCAAAAAGAATCATTAAATTATATGCATTTGCATAAAAGATACAATAATTTAAAAATATTTTATCGTCATTTTTTTGAAATCTGACTTTGCAGTTATAAAAATTCAAATGCGCCTAACTTCGTTAAATAATTTTTTTTGGTAAAACGGCAAAACACGTGTCGTCTAAAATTGTGTGAAAAATAATATATTTTCATAGGAAACTATAACATGAGTTACAGAAACATAGCCTGTCTGAATTGAAATTGAATCGGCCAACTGTTAAAAATCGGGCTTCAACTTTACACTAAAAGATTGAAATAATATATTTTCAATCCGAAAAGGGTAAATGTTTGCATGTCATTGGTTGGACAAAAAACTTTAAGCCAATGAAATAAAAACATTCGCACTTGTCGAGATTGAAAATATATAATTTCAATCTTTTTAGTGTAAAGTTGAAGCCCAATTTTTAACAGCACGGAAAAAAAGAAAAAGTAACTTTTACTACTTTAAAAGTAAAATTGGACCTGTCCGAAGTTTCTGCGCATCTCTGGCAACTTTTACTCCAAAAATAGTAAAATTTACTTCAGAAATAGTAAAAATTACTACGGAAACAGTAAAATTTAATACAGAAATAGTCAATTTTACTATTTTTGAAGTAAAAGTTGCCAGAGATGCGCAGAAACTTCGGACAGGTCCAATTTTACTTTTAAAGTAGTAAAAGTTACTTTATTCGTTTTTCCATTTTTCTCCGTGAGTGTACAATGATACAAAGTTTGAATTAAACATAATATAGTTGAATTAAAAATATCGTTTTCTCACTGTATATATGTATATAATGAATGAGGGGAAAAATGCAGCATTATTGAGTGATGTGCACTGGAAACTAATAAGTGTGCGATACTTTATAGCTCAGTTCGCAATAATTAAGGTCATTAACTCCTTGTGAACTGGGTAACGATATATAGTGTATTGACCTTTCTTTTATGGCTGTACTCGCATTATTCACTGCACCTACAAAACGATTTATTTGATATAGAAAGGATCTTTGGAAAATGAAAGATAATAGGAGCAATGAATATACCCTGTATTAAATAATATGAATACTTCGTTTTATGAATTAATTTTACCTCTCATTATTAATTTTCTCTCATTATATTCATTTACCATATACCATTTGTATTATACCTATATATATGCACGCAATATGATGAGATTTATTTTGTCGAAAATTTAGTAGAAATTTCACACTTGGCAGGATAAGTCACTCTGAAAGCTCACTGTAAATTGTGGAGTACCAAATTCGTGTCTCAGTGCTATTTCTGGGTAAAATATATGGTCCGCCGAGGGTCATTCCATAAAACTTGAGAATTATATGCGGATCTAAGAGAATTATCTAGCATGAAAGATTAATTCTTTCATGCATTTAAACTTAAACCCTGAACTTAAACTTATTTCCAAAATTTTAATGTCTAATTATGAGATTAATGGAAATTAAAATAAATTTCGATTAGTGGAATATTTCTCTTGGTTAATACGTGACATTTAAATATTGTCCAAAATTTTAATATAATTTTATTTAATTAATTGAAAAAATTTGTTAAAAATAATATGTCTAGATCTTAAAATTCTAGATATAATTTATATTTTATTGCTGTTTTATTACTTCTAAAACATTTAAGGATAATAAAATACAGTTATAATAATTTTGATAAAAAAGAATAAAAGAATAATTTTTTTTTAGATTTTTTATACAGCTCACGGTATAAAATATTTTTAATAAACTGTTGACGCTGATCGATTGAATAGATATATATGCCACCGCGGTGGTCCTGCATCAAAAAATTTTTTTTCTTTTTTAATTGTATCCCTAAATTTTTAAGACATCCTATATAATCTCAACTCTATTTTGAATATATATTTTTTAAGACCCTGTCACTCAACGGTCAAATTCCATTCGAAACGGTTAAAATTATTATAATTTTATCCCTTTAAAATTTTCTCTTAAAATATTCTTGTTTCGAGAGGATTCCTTTTATTTTAATGCATATTTTCCTCTAGAATATGTCTCAAAAAAATTTCTTCTTAATTTAAAAGAAAGCAGATTTTGTATTTCATTAGTTGAATATAAATATATTTCAATTGATTTTAATTCTTTTAACTAAATCAACTAAATCTATTTTCATAAATTTTTCTTTGCGCATGATTGCTCACAAATTTTAATTTGTCATAATTTTTTTTTTTACCGAATTTCAAAACTGTATAATAAAAATTTTTACGAATATAAATTTTGAGAATTTTATTTTGACATCATTTTTTTAACCTATACGTCGAATTTATTTTTATGAGAATGTTTTTTTTTATCAATTTTCTAATTATCATAAACATAAATTAGTATAATTTTTATTTTCCAAAATCGAAAGTAATAGAATTTTTATTTATTAGAATATTTTTTGTTATAATTTTAATTAATTCGAATAATTTTTTGAAATAATTTTAATTTCATAGAATTCTAAAGTGTCATAAAAAAAATAGCGAAATATTATTTTACAGAAATTTTTTTTTTGGCAACTTTTTATTTATCACAACTTTAAACGATGCTGAAGTACGCAACGTTTATGATCAACGATTAGAAATCAATTTTTATTTAACATGGAAAATTATAAAATTGTTTACCTAAAAAATTTATTTTTTATAATTTGTTGATTAATAGAAACTATAAAAAATATTTTTCAGGCAAAAAATTATAGAATTTTTCATTCAAAAAAATTATTTCTTTAAAAATCGTTCATCATAAACGTTGCGTACTTTAGCAACGTCAACTTTTAATTAGATCGAATTTTTTTTTATACCTTTTTATTTTACCTACTGACATTTTTTTTTTCTACAAATATTGAGAATTAGTGAAAAAAAACTGTTTCACATAAATTAAAAAAAAAAAGAATTTTTTTTCCGAAATTGGCTTCCAATCGTTTGGACAGCTTAAAAGGAAAGCTGACAAAATATTTCTGTAAATATTTCACCTACTACTTTTTGTAAGTGTCATATAGTATCTTAAAATGTATCCCGAGTAGTTTTTTTTTTTAAGAGCTGTCAGTCAACTGTCAAGTTTCATTCGAATTGCGGTTAAAATTATTCTAATTCCTCTTTTAATCTGCTTTTCGTATTGAAATCAATTTTAACTTGTAAGTTAGCTTTTTTTTGTAATATTTTTCCAATCTATTTTTCAAAATATTTTCTATAAACTTATTATGGGAGTTCAAAAATTTTGACAACTCTTTTGACATATTTCACTTATAAATTTTTTTTTCATCAAAATTTAAAATCAATATTTTTGACAAATATAAATTTGAAACCTCAAGAATTAAAATCTTTTTTTCTATGACATTAAATAAACAAAATTTTTAATTTACAAAATATTTTTAAGAATATTTTATTATTTTTAATTCATAGTAAAGGAGATTTTATATTTCTTAGTATTTTTAAATATTTTAAATTAAATATTTAAAAAATTAAAAACTATATAAAAAAATCAAAATGTAAGAAATGATAAAGCAGTTTAATGAATCATAAATTACAAATCTAATAAATTTTTTTTTTTTTAAGAAACATCAAAGCTTTATCGTTTGAAACTTTTATTAAATTTTTTTTTTTTTTGGTATGTGTGTCTACTTTTTATATCTTTTTTCGTCGCAATTTTATTCATAATCTTGTTAAGCTGCGAAGGGAAAAAGTTTTCACCAAGTCTTTTGACTTTAGTGAAAATGATTTGACTCTTGAGGGAGGGATTAATAAAAATAAAAAAAAGAAAAAAGCGAAAGATTTATTAAATAAGTTTTTAATTTCTTTTCATAGGTGAAGAGAAGGAGCCGGCAATTTTCACTGACAAGAGAAAATTATTCAAAAATTCATCGCAAGATTTGGTGAATTGTGACAATAATAATTATCACGGTGAATTTCACAAATCAAAGCAACATAATAATTACAATCATCAATTAGTAAACGAGGCGAAAATTGGAAATCGTAAACGTCGCCAAGCACCACAAACGCCAATTTCCAATAGTAATAATAATAATACTCATGTCACCGAAAACATCAATGAGAAATCAATCAGCGATTATCCAAGTGAAAGGAGGGAATCCCGACGACATGACATAAACGGAAAGGGATTACCGGAAGAAGGTGATCTTCATCCACCATTAGAAATGGGCTCAAATTTAAGTAGACACAGTGCGGGCAAAGGTCTCACTGGCAGGAGGACGCAATCATCTGGAAATCTCTGTGATGCAAAAGGGAAGCTGAATAGCGTTGGAAAAATCTTTGTACCCTGCTCCAGCACGTCTAGAGAAAGGTGACTTTGACTTTCTATTGTCGATTTTATAAGCTTCTTTTTCAAAGATAAAAAGAAAACAGGTGGAAGCTTTCAAAAGCCATTCATATCACTTTAAACGTACTGAAATATAGCCACACAATTTTTTTTTTTTTTTTTTTCTTTAAAGGGATATTCAAATTTTTTCAAAAAGTAAGAAAATGTGAAAAATATTTTTAAAAACGTGAAATAAATAAAAAATACAAAAAATGTGCTATGAAAATATTGAATTTTATTTTTCATATAAAGTTAAAATTTACTCAAAGTTCAATAGAAGGCGTTTAGAATATTAAAACGTACTCTTTTCTTCTTTACGTGCAAGAAGTTAGCAACACTATTTTTTTCAAAAAAAAAAAGAGAAAAAATTTGTGCCAATTTATGCTGGAAAATTTTTTTTTGGAAAAAATGTTAATTAGGACTCAAATTTCAAAAACAAAGAAAATTATTAAGCTTTAAAATTTCATAAAATAATTAAAAATAAACAATTGTTCAATACCAGAACAAAAAGAAATCCTTATAACAATTTTCAAAAATAATAAATTATTCAAAATAATTCAAAAAGAAAATTTTTTAACTAACAAATATTCAAAAATTATTATTTTCCACATACAAATTTTGTGCTGAATTGTTCTAGTTTATCACAAAAAGAAATAATAATAAGATTTACGAAAAATTATAATTTTTTAAATGTAAATCAATATTAAAATTTCAGGAAACATTTTTTTATCGAGAAATATAAAAATATTATTATTTTTCAAAAATAAATTTTGTATTGAATTATTCCAGTTGAGCACTAAAAGAAATAATCATAACATTTATTAAAAATCGCATTTTTTTAAAAAATAATTCAATAGTAAAATTCAAAAGATTTTTTCAGAAATATTCTCAAAACTTATTATTTTTCTTAAACAAAATAATATTGATTGTGCTAGTCGAGCACAAAAAAATACAATTATATAATTTATGAAAAATTAAGAATTTTTTAAATAATTCATAAAATTCGAAAAAAAAAATTTTTTTACCTAGAAATGTTCAAAAATATTATTAATTTTTAAAAAGTAATTTTATGCCAAATTGTCTTTGTTCAGCACAGAAAGATTCTACTGTTTTTGAAGAATAATAATTTTTTAATATTTCGGGATAAAAAAATGTTTCTTGAAATTTTAATATTGAATTATTATAAAAAAATTATAGATTTACTGTTAATCTTATGATTATTTCTTTTTATGATGGACGATCTCAATTCAGGCCAAAATTTGTTTTTGAAAAATAATTTTAATTTTTTAATATTTGGGGGTTAAAAAATAGTTTTTTGAATTTAAATTTAACTTAATTTGACTAATCAATTTTGAAAATTGTCAGAATTTCTTTTTGTCCTGGTCTTGAATAATTGTTTATTTTCAATTACATATAAATAGATTTTTTTAAAGTTTTTTTTGAGATTCGAGTCCTAATTATTATTTTTTTAAAAAATATTGTCACAAAAAATTATTCAAAAAAAAAACATAATAAAATGGGGCTATCATCATGCACGTCTCTTTTTTTCTTTCATTACGAATAATTTGATATTTGAAAAAAAAAATTGGTTAGAAAAGAGACAAGTAAAAAAATTAAGAGTCAAGAGGGGAAAAATGATTCTATGACTACTGCATTGTCCTCGATTTAAGAAGCGCCTTATCCTTGACCTACATTGCAATCTGTACATGTCCTACATTTAGAAAATTTTCATCCAACAGCAAAAAGGATTCCTTTACTAAGTTGCTTGTTTAGCAAAATAAAAACATTCAATTCTATATTTATTAAGGGTCCATTTGGCTCTGTGAGTCACTAATTTTTTTTCTTTTTTTTCTGTATTAGCAGGTACAAATTTTGCGGTTCACTGCCTAACCACTTGGATGATAAGGAGGGACTCGAAATCGAATCTGGAGAGAACAATAATGTGATTCACAGTGCTGTGGGTGGAAACCTCCCTGGGACGTTACCACATCAAAAGAAGCTGGCGGGTTTGCAACTCTCCGACAGTGATCCACCATTTGGTACTTTTGACCTCGTTAAACATCCATCCCAAGATTCCCTAGAAGGTGATCCCTGGAGGTTTGTATCACCTTTATAAATACAAATTAAGCCCATACGAATTTCACGTCCTTCAATAAGGATCTAAAAATATCTTTCATTTTAACTCAGAAGGCTCTTTCAAGAAAAAAAAGGGAGAGAAAGAGAGAGGATGAAAAAAAAAGTTAATTGATTTCACGATTCATCCTTTACATTTCAAACCCTTTTATCGTCGAGACTCCTTTTTGGTTACAAATTGAAAATCTACATAATTAATGCCAAGTTTCTTTTATTTGACTCCAATATTCATTATACTATTTCATCCATTTACTTTTCTATTTCCATCTTTTCTTATTCTTCTTTAATTTTTCTAATTAAAGAAAAAAAAATACTCTAAAAACTTCTTTAAACTAATTTTAAAAAAGTATAAATATTGGTTGAAATTTCAAAAATATTTAAAAAAAAAATTTTTTCAAAAACCAATAATTTACAATATTTAACTTTGGTGAATTTCACAATGATTATTGATCGAGAAACGTTATAAAAAATTTTTAGACAAAAATTATAATAATTTGCGTACAATTAATTAATTAAATCGAAATTTGGTTTAAAAAAATTTTTTATCAAACTAAATTTCTATTCAAATAATTTTTATTCAACTCAATTTCTATTTAAACGAATTTTAATCGATTTTGTATAATACTGAACATTTATTTAAAATTTAAACAAATGTGTTTAGTATGTAATTTAACAGAATTTTCATTAAAATTCTTTTTAAACAATTAGAACAAAAATTAATTCAACCCAATATTTTGGAGTTTTTAAATATAATAACAATTTAGACTTCAAAAATATTTTAATAGTGTAAGTTTTAACAATTTAGTTTAGAACCATTAAAAGTTGAATTTCAATAACAATTGCAAATTTTTTGATACAGAAGAAAATGATTTTTTAATTTTTATCTAAATACAATTTTTAATAATTAATAATTCAATACATAATTTCTAAAATTATTATCGCTTTTATTAAGAATTTATTAATCCATTTTCAGATATAGACTGAGCGATGAATTTGAACCGGGAAAATGTCAATTACACTCGCTTTTAGCAAGTAAAAATTCGAAAGGCTCTGATACCGTCGACAGTAGTAAGCAACCAACGACGACAAAAAAAAGATTTTCCTTTAGTAAATCAAAAGAGAAAATTTTAAATCGTAACGACAGTGATAATAATACTAACAGAGGAAGTAGTTCGTTTAAAGAAACACGACGTGATTCATCATCGAGCAATAAGAAAACAGAATTTGAAGACGGTGACAATAATTATCGACGGAGAAGATTTTCATCGAAAAATTCAACGCATAACGAGTCAGGAAATATGGTACATAAACCAAATTGCCAATTGGTGAAACATCGACTTCAATCAGCATTATCACTTGATCTCACACTCAGCAAACTTTCCGGCAATGAACCACAAGACCAAGGTTATGCCTCTGAACGATCACCCGAGGACGAACAACCACCTTCTCTACCTGGACAGGACGATATTTTTCCCAATGTCACATCTGGTATGAATTTAATTCTTTTTTAAAATTTATATTTCAACAAATTTTAGCCACAATTTTAAAATAATAAAATAATAATTTAATAATGAGAAAAGAATTTTGAAAAATTTTAATTAATATTAAGGGGAGGGACCGATGAAATTTCAACTTTTCGAAATTAAGGCTGTTTATGGATATAAATTTTTTTTTATGTTAATATTGAATATTTAAAACTGTTTACTATGGGAAATTAAAAAAAAATTAATTCATTAATAATTTTTTAAACAAAACTCGAAATTTTCAAAAATTAAAAATTTTAACTTCTATTGCAATTTTTATTATTTTTCATTACTGATTTTTTTATACACTTTTTACATGATTCTAGACAATCAATCGTATGGATTTTTTAAAAATTTAATATTTTTTTCAAAAAATAAAATTTTTAAAATGGCCAAAAAAATTTATTTCAAATAAGTAATAAAAATAAATAAAAATAAGTAAATAATTGTTTAATTTACTGTTTATATTTTACATGGTCATCATAAATTTTAATAATTTATAAATTGAAAAAAATATTTCGTTCATTTGAAAGTTCAAAAGTTTCGTCTCGCAAATAATTGAATTTCAGGAGATTATGAATTGAAATTGTATTAAATTTTGTTTACAAATTTTTAACAATTGACGTTTAAAGAATTTTTAATTCTATTTTTTTAATAATTGAATTTTTCAAGATTTACAGTGTAGATTTTTAAAAATAATTGAATTTCAATTGAATTTTTTTTATAAATTTAAATTTCTGAAGATTTTTTATTTACAAATTTCAGACAATAATTTAATTTCAAAGAATTTTTAATAAAAAAATTTTTTTATATAACTGAATTTTCAAAATTTTTATTAAAATTACCAAAAATTATTTATTTGGACAAGAATTTTGGAAAAAAATTAATGAATAATTAAATTTTGGAAAAAGTTATCTGTTACGTTTTCTAACATTAATTAGAATTCAATTGAATTGGTAAAGATAATACAAATTTTTAACAATAATTGAGTAATTTTTTGTCAATAATTAAAGTTTGGAAAATTTTTAATATTGAAAATATTTGAAAGTATGAAAAATTTCTTGCAATGTTTTTTGATCAATAAATTATAAGAAACATATTTTTAGATAACAATTTATTTTATTTATAAGTCCAAATTTTCATTCAATTAAATTTTAACAGAATTTTCATTTTATTAAAATTTGATCTTATAAAAATTCGACTAAATATAAATTATGTCACAAGAAAATTTGTTAAATAAAAAATTTCTGAATAAAAAATTAATAAAAAAAAATTTGTCTTTTAAAATTCTATCAACTCTGAACATTCAAAGTAATTATAAATTTTTAATATTCTTTTCCTTCGTTTCTGAAAATCATGAAAAATTTTCATTAAATTTTATTAAGAATTTTTAAATAAAAATGAAGTTTCTTTTTTAGAAAATACCTTGTGAAATAAATTTTTTTCATTTTAATACTTGATGAGCGAACATTTTATATAAGCACCTGAAGGCACAATTAAAATGCAGTGTCGCCACACATGTGTGAATTTTTTTTTTTTTTTTTTTTTTTTTTTTTAGTCAACCCCATATTGATTTAAAATATAGTTGTTTGTGTTCTTGTGAGCGATAAAATTTAATCACGGTAATTGTTGCAGAAAACACATTTAGAGTGGTGTTGGAAAAAAATAATCGTGGACTTGGTCTAAGCGTTTCCGGAGGTGGAACCGCTGGCCCGGTCAGGGTGAAAAGACTCTTCCCGCAACAACCAGCTGCACTTTCTCATAAACTTGAACAGGGAGATATTCTCTTAGCAGCCAACGGAATTCCACTCACCGGTCTCACCAACTATGTAAGTCATTTTATTTCACGAACAACAACAAAAACTAAATTCCTCTCATTTAAACACTTCTTATGTCACTTATATTCTTCAGCTAAAGTCACTTAATACACCCCTTTCTGCTGTTGCTTTCTCACTGAAATAAATAAATGCATTTCAAGACGTGAAATCAATTTTGTTTCGAATTATAATTATTAGGGTTATAATCGATAATAATTAGAGATCAAAATTGAATTTAAAATTTTTATTATCAACATTGTTTAGAAATAAAAAATGTTAAATTTTTTTTCTTTTTCAAAAAATTCAACCCTTTTTTTAAAAATCAAAAATATTTTTCACTTTTTCTCAAAATTGTTTTTTTTTATTTTTTTTTTTTTTAAATATGCACTTTCAGTACAAAAAATGTCCTTTCTTTTTGTTTTGGAAATATTCATTAATTAATTAATAAAAAATTAAAATATTCCACAAACAAATAAAGTTTGGATAATTCTGAACTAATCAATTAATTTTTATTATTAATAATTAATTGTTAAAAATTAATTGTTAATTATTACTAATCAATTATTTATATTAATTGCAATAATAATTAATCCAAAATACTTCTTATTGGGTTTGTTGGATGCAGAATTTCATTTAGGCTTTCAGAATTAAGCTAACTTTATTTGTTTGTAAAATATATTTTTTTTTATTAATTTTTAAATCAGAAGAACATTTTCATATATTTTTTTGTACTGAAAGTGCACATTTTAAACTTTATAAAAAAAAAAATTAAAAAACACCGATTTTGAGAGAATGTGAAAAATATGTTTAAACTCCAAAAAAGGGGTAAATTTTGAATTTTTTGAAAAAAATTTTACACCATTCAAAATAATAGGAAAAAAGCTTTCGAAAACATACAGAATAAATATTTTTTTAATCTTTGTAATAATTACGACTTTCAAAAAATTCACTTTTCACACTTTTGATAATTGGATCACTTGAGAAATTTTGCCCCATATATATATCGACTAAAAACCTATTGTACATTTATTGGTGCAGACAGTTTTAAACAGTTTGATCAAGTGAATGAACATCTATTTGCAATCGATTCCTCTAGTTAGCGCGGTGATGTCGAATACAACTGTCAGACCGTGTTTTTAAAAAAAGAACTCTAAAAAAAAAGGAAATAATTCCAAAGTTATCTTTATAGGTATAGATAAATATTGGAATATTTTCTATTCAGCTTATTTCTTTTATTTTTATTTATTTTATTAAAAAAAAATTTTCCATTTATTTTTATTTAATTTTAATATTGTACTTATATAGATATTTTGCGGACAATAAGAAAATATGTATTTATTTATTTCCTTGTTTAATATTTATGGAAGTTATGATTTTTTAAAATTTAACATCGTCATTTACTTTAAATAAATTTTATTTGTCTCAAATAAACGCCAATAAAATATCGATATTTGAAATTTTTTTAAACCATGTTTTTCTGAAAATAATACAAAAAAAAGTGAATTTATAAAATAAATACTTGAAAATCTATAAGTAGTATTAAAAAAAAACTGTAAATAGTATTTTAATTCGGTTTTGAGAAAAATTCAATTTTTTAGATACTTCCATTGTAGTTACGTTATTTTTTATTACAAATTTAAAATCGAAAAAAAATTTCATATATTATTTTTTATCTATTAGTATGACAGAGAAAAAAAGGTTTCAAAATTACTTTGCTTCTGCGATAACGTTAAATTTTTAAAAATCATAACTTTAATAATTTTTATCAAACAAAAAAAGTATTTTTATTTTTTTTTTTTTATTTTTCATGTAAATTTCGAAACAAATGTTTGAAAAAAGTTTTTGAATGAAAATCTCACATGCCCTATATATTAAAATCGTGCTCACTTATACTTACAGTTGAAATATATAGCGTAAAAAATAGAATATAAAAGAAAAAGATCAATATGATTTGTGAGGTTGCCAAAATGAAAATCTCCCTAGTTGATGAAAAGCAATAAAATATAGTCTCGAGGAATGGCTACACAAAGTGAGAAATGACATACAAGAGTTTTGAAGACACAAATCGATACTATATATAGTAGATACTAGAGAGTATAAGATGAACGTTTCAATCTTAGATATGTCGATAGTCATAATATCTGTATTGAGGTAATATCCTAAACATACATATATATACACACACATATTACGCGGAAAACTTTATTGGGCAAAAGTCGGTCGATTCTTAAAAAGCAGTTATCCTCACTGAAATTTTGCGAAAGAACGTATGGAAATTTATGGAAATCCATTATTTCACTTCCGCACAAATTTTTCCATATTAAACTTTCCCATATATGATTTCTCTTGGGATATATGGTTATAACCATATAACGTTTCCAATAATAAAATTTAGAATCTTTTTTTCTTTGAAAAAAAAACAAAAGAACCATCATCCTTTTTTTATATTCAGAAAAGAAATTTTAACTACCTATAATAGTGATTGCCGTTGAAAAAATTTAATTAAAGACGAAAAATTTCACGTTGCTGAATAATTTGAGGAGTCGTTTTTTTTTATCGCAGTTTTCAGAATCTATTCAAATTACCCTGAATAACGTTTTATTATCATCCCTCCTTTACATTTTTATCTTTTGTGAATACTCGATAACAATGAAATATAGACTCTAAAGTTGAATAAAATATACCAAAAGAAGATTCTTGATAAAGTCTATAAGAAACAGTTTCTTGCAATAATATTCAATTATTTATTGGAGAGAGTTATTTTCAATTTTTTTAAGTGAAAGAAAGGAAAATTTTTTTTTTTTTTAAATCAAGAATCAAATTTTTATTTAATTTAATTATCACTTTTTTATTTAAATAAATTCATATTTAATAATTTTATTAAAATAGTTTTAAATATTTTAAAATTTTTAATCGAATTTTCATTTAATAGAATTTTTTTATAACTGATTTTCTAGTTCACTTAATTTTCATATAGAATTCTTATTTTATAAAATATTCAAGAGAATTTCTGTAATTTTTTATTTAATTTTTAATTATAATTTTTATTTCAAAGAATTCTAAATTAATCAAATTTTTATATAACAGAATTTCGACTGAGTAGAAATGTTAACGGTCAGAATTTTAAAATAAATCAATCAAAAATTATTATCAAGAAAATTGATAATTATATATAATAGAACCAAAAAATCGATAATTTGTCAAATATTATTATATTTGAAGAAAATACATGCGGCTAAAATATGTAAAAAAAATAAATTTTAAATTTACGAGATAAAAAGGAATGAGGATAAATAGGAAGAGATTAATTATAAATTCAAAATTGATGTATATATATAGACAAAGAGGAGAAAACAATGAATAATTGAAGAATTATTATATGAAGTCGAGAGGTGCATGAAAATGTCGAGAGGAAGCAATAAGTTTTAAGTTAATGACCAATATCAGAATCTATCAATTTTGAAGATGGTTATTAATTCTCTATGTTTTCAGGAGGCCCTCGAAGTTCTACGGACTACTTCCAATAAGGTCGAACTAGTGGTGTGTCGACTGCCCAGTGAATCAACCGGAAATAGTCCCGATATACCTCTACCACCACCGCCACCACCAGTTCGAAGAGAACCACCTCCACCCTTACGGATATTAAATCCCTTACCACCACTTCAGATCGAACCCTGTGGAGTAAGTAATGGCAACTTTATTTCCTGCTTCCACCTCTTTTATACCTTGGCAACAGTTTTACTAAAATTAATGCAAAATAACTTCACTTTTAATCCAATATAAAATCTCCGATAAAAATCGTTTTACAGTCACGCCAGAAATGGTTTCCTTTTTTTTTTCTCTCTCTCTTTTTTTTTTTTATTTCTTATACTTTGAATATTCATTTTGTACATAAATATTCAAATATGGAAATAAATATTTATTGATTAAAAAAGAAAATTAAAATAATAATTAAAATCGAATATCAATAGTGAAAGTTTAAACTTTTGAAATATTCGGTGTTTTAGGATATTAATTTATTTTATCAATTTTATTAAATGACGCTACGTCATAAATATTTAGAAAAAAATTTAGGTAATTAATCTATTAATTAACAAATTTTGTAATTGACCTTAAAATTCAGGAAAAATTTTAATTTTGAACTTCTTCGACAATTTTTAATATTTTTCATTGTCAATTTTTTTTTAGACTTTTTTCATTATTCTGAACAATCAATCATATATATAGATTTAAATTTTTTTTTCTTAAAAATTAAAATTTCTAAAATAAATAAAAGAAAAATGTAAAATAACCAAAAAATTTTTTTTCAATTTTTCATAATTCGAAAAAAGGGGTCGAAAAAATTGACAACTCTCTACATAATCTAATTTTGATAAATTGAAATTTCACTGATAATTTATTTAAAATTGATCCTCTTCCACAATTTTTAATAATTTTCATGGATAATTTTTTTTAACACTTTTTTATCATATGGATTATAAATTTTTTTTCAAAATTTGTTCAAAAATAAAATTTCTAAAAAAAAGAAAAATATAAAATAACTAAAAAATTTTTTTTTAATTTTTTTATAATTCAGAAAAATGTCGAAAAAATTGACCAACTTCTATATAATATGTAAATTTATATTAATTAAAATTTCACTGTTAATTCTTTTAAAATTTCACTTCTACAATTTTTAAATAATTTTTCATCGATAATTTTTTTTTTTAAATCGTATGGATTTTAAAATTTTTATCATTTTTTCAAAAAATAAAATTTCTTAAATGGTGAAAAATATATTAATTAATTAATTAATTAATAACAACGAAAATTTCAATAGTTCCTTCTCTTAAAAAAAATGTTTATACAAATTTTTCACATTTTCAATTTGATGAAGTACAAAAAGAGCGAATTATAAATTTTCTCATTTTTAAATTTTTTCATGAATTTTAATTTTCTAAATTAAAAATTTTTTGTTGATAAAAATTAAGAAGAAAAATAAAAATTTTTTCTAGGAATTTGATATTGAGATGACAAAAGTGGGCGGAAGTTTAGGTTTCACATTAAGAAAAGCCGATAGCAGTGCTCTAGGTCATTATATTAGAGCTTTAGTGAGAGAACCAGCTTTAAGCGATGGAAGAATTCGACCTGGTGATAAAATTGTTGCCGTTGATGAAGCACCGCTCTCTCCAATGAGTCACGAGGAAGCTGTTGCTCTTCTTCGACAATGTGGTCCAATGGTAAAACTTCGTCTCTATCGTGATTTGGCACAGACTCCAGTTTCAGCCTTATCACCAACGGAACCTGATCACCCTCTACGTCCGCCACGAACTAGTTTAAGGTAACTGTCGATTGACACAAAAAAAAAAAAGAAGATCTCGTCAATTGTTTTTATCGTCAATGAAAAAATATATATTTCACAATCTTATCGAAAAACGAGAGTTTGAAAATGTACCAAATTTTTTATCAAAAATCTTTTGTTTTCTATATTATATTTTTTTCTCATTTTATCATAATTTTAATTTTTTTTTATCACATTTTTCAGACAAGAGGCTGTAGACATGCTTTGTGATTTGGCAGTGAGAAAATTATCCCCAGGACCTAATAATAATAATAATAATAATAATAATGGTTCGAACGATTCTAATCGATCCACATCGGGATCTTGTACTTCGCCAAGAAAACTTCGAAGACCTGCTCCAAGAACACCGAGTACAGAGGCTGATAATGGTATTAGAAATTTTAGAAAATATTTGAGGAAAAAAAAAATTTTTTTTTATTAAATCATTAAAAAAAAATTTCAAATTTACAATATAATATCGATTTAATGAAAAATTTTGAATATTTTTTTTTGTATTTGCAAGTAAAAGAGAAAATAATATTTTTTTCTTAAATTATTGCATATAAAATTTTACAGGCACTCTAAAGAGAAAAGTGTCGTCACAAATTTCAAGTCAAAGTCAAGGAGATACTTCTGAGTCGGATCAATGTTCGATTAAAACGCAAATTACAAATTCACAAGCAAATACACCGTCAACTGATATTATCGATCCACCATCGCTTTATGACGCCGATTCTTATGACTCATTGAAAGCATCACGACCAAGTTTTCTCGATCTTACTGCACCGCAAGATAAGCCAAATTTTCAATTCAGTATCAAACCCGAGTCAAAGTCGAATCATCATCATCATCATCATAATTCGACAAATCGCGGTGATAATTCATTAAATTTAGGACACAATGACACATTGTCGTGTGATGAATTAGATGGAAATTTACCAACAGAACCAGCATCAATGCCACCAGTATCAACGAATAATGACGCGACATTTAGTCACAAGAATCCTGCTTATCAAAGTGCTAATCCCTCATCAAACACCAAAGATGTTACAAAGAGCAAAGTGTCTCACTCCAGTGATCAGGATATTCCAGGTTGGTTTACAAAAAAAATGTGTTTTTTTAAAAAATTTTCTTTAAATGTCAATTTTATTTTTAATTTATTTAAATTAAACTTATCATTTGCTTATTATTTTCTTTTGTTATATATTGAAGACTGATTAAAGATTAAAAAATCTTGTAGATAAAAAAAATAATAAACTTCAAAAAATGTATCACCAAGTTTCAAATAAATTTCGTTTTAAAAAGCAAATAATAATTTTGGGGCGCATGATTATCCCATAAAAATAATTAGTTAAAATTTTCATTTATTAGATATAATTATTTTTTAGACGAATTTTTATTTTTTCAATTAACATTTGACAGAATTACTTTTTAAATAAATTTTTACGTAACATAATTCTTATATATATCGAAATTTTATTTGGCAGAATTCTTAAAACGCCGAATTTTTATTTGTCCGAAATTGCAAATGTCCGAACAAATAATCGACAGAAAGATTTTGGCGCGATTTTTAAAATCAACCAATCACAATTTTATGGATAATTTTTGATTGGTTGATTTTAAAAATCGCGCCGAAATCTTTCTGTCGATTGTTTGTTTGGCTATTTGCAATTTCGGACAAATGAAAATTCGGCGTTTTAAGAATTCTGCCAAATAAAATTTCAGTGTCTAAGAATTCTGTTAATTAAAAATTCTTTAAAAAAGAAATTCTGACAAATGTTAATTTGAAAAATGAAAATTCGTGTAAAAAATAATTATATGTAATGAAATTGTAGAAAATGAAAATTCTCACTAATAATTTTTATGGGATAATCATGCACCCCATATAATTTTGAATAAATAATAATTTCAAAATAGTTAGAATTATTTATAAGATTTTAAATTAATAACCAATTTTTTTAGTTTGAAATTTATATGAGGCAATAAAAACTGCAAAAAATATTTTTCAGGCAAAAAATTATAAAATTTCTCATTCTAAAAAAATATTTTTAAAAAATCGTTTATCATAAACATTGTGTACTTCAGTATCGTAAAATCTTAATATATATAAACTCATTAAAAAAAAAATTATAAAAAGTAGAGGGGATTGAAATTTTGAGTTTTTAGCTTTTATTTTCAAATTCGTAAAACTTCTACAAAACTTTATTGATTTTAATTTGTCAATAGAATTTTTATTGTCAAAAACAGTTCAAACCAAAATATTAAGCAAATAAATGCACAATTATATAATTTATTGTGGGAAATACGGGATTCACGCGCCATTGATTTTGAGGATTGTTTTTTTTTCGAAAACAGTCTTCCTTCTTATTCCTGACTTATTGTTGCGACGAAAACAAAAAGAAAAAAAAAACAAGAAACAAATATTCGACAACAATCATTTTTTTTTTTGTTGAACAATTACATAATTATTTATTTCTTCTAATTACAGGTAAAATCTTTGGTAACGAAGATCCAGGTGGAAGTAAAGGATTGCTTAAATGGAAAGGTGTCATGTTTGCTCCAGATGATGAGGAAAGTGAAAATAATCAGAATGGTAGCGGTAAAGAAACATTGCCCTCTACTTGTGAAGAAGGAGACGAGGTAATTAAACCTTTAATTAAAAACAAAAAGTTAAATTTATTAACTTAATTACATGTTTTGTTAATTAAAATATTTTTCATTATTTTATTGATGACAATCAAATTAATGCGATAAAATTGATAGAATTATAATTAAGAAACAAAAAACAAAAAAAATATTATTTTAGAAAAAAATGTTTGTAAATATTCTTTTATACTAATTTTTGGTTAATTATATAGGTAATATTAATTATATATTAAATAATTAATTGTAATTAATTATATATTAATTATTAAATAAATTATTATTAAATAACAATAAATTACTAATATGTAATAATAGTAACCATTATATAATTTTACAAAGTATTTATAAATTGTACCTGAAGTTCTGAACTTTCCAATAAATGAAAAATTTGTTTACTTTTTTTTTAACTTTAAATTTTATAATAAAATATTGCTTTTTGTATTTAAAAATAAATTAATAATTTTTTAAATATTAAATGTAGTTTTTTATTTTTCGTTGCTATTGTAATTTTTAAAAAATTTATATAGACCAAAAAAAATGTTTTAATTCATTTGAACGTTCAGAACTTTAGAAATATTTTCTAAAATTAATTTTTGTGAAAGTTTTCGTAGGATTTTCAACAAATATAAGGCAAATTATAATTAAATAATTAATAATTAAATTAATTTTTTATTTTTTAATTTCATGCGATTTTGACTTTGTTACATATTGAAAAATTTCTGAACGGAATAATTAGTTTCGTTTTTTTTCAGGTTTTCATGGTTGAACTAACAAGAGGATGGAATAGTCGACTTGGCTTTAGTTTACAGCCAAATGGCAATCAAACTGTGATTTCCGTTGTACACCCAGACAGTGTAGCGGCAAAAGATGGCAGACTTAAGGAAGGCGACGTACTTATTATGGTAGATATAACATTTTATTCATTAATCTTTCATATTTATTTTACAAATTTCTTAATATTATCCTGATTTTAGTTTGATCAATTTTTATTTAAAATATTAAATATAAATTGTACTCTCTATTCTTATTATAAAAATTCAGAGTGGCAGCGAGTTAGGTAAAAACTGGAAATCAGGGAAAAGTCAGGAAATTTTTGAAATGAAATTCTGCTGCTTCTTGAAATTTGACAAATTTTACTTAGAAACAAAATTTTTCTCATAAATTAATGATTATTTTATAACAAATTTTTATTTTTTTTTTTATTTCATTATTTGTTTTATAAACATATATGTCTTACAAATATTATAAATTAAAAAATTTTTTTATTTGTAGATTAACGACGAAAGTGTTGAAGAAATGTCGACAGCGGACATAATCGACTTGTTAAGAAAAGTTCGAGGAGCAATTGGCATCACTGTTTTAAGACGAAAGAAACAGAGGCTAAAAACATGATAGATGCCATTTTAGAGCATAAAAAGTAGTTTTTATTTGTAAATTGAATATTAGTATCAAAAAATTATCTCAAATATTCTATTATATATATATATATATAAAAATCTATATTTCGACACTTTCACCCAACAAATCTATAATATATTTACGTCAATAAATATAAAGTCTGTTAGTTATATATAGAATATATATATATATATATTTATTAAATGTAAAGTAGAGTAACGTAATTCAGTCACGAAAAGCAAAAGAAAAAAAATGTCTAAAAAAAATAGTTCTAATTGTCTACAAAAAATACTTTGAATGAAAAGCAATAATAATTCTTGCCTTTTGCATTTAAAATTCTGCCATGTCGCAATATAGACTTAGAAGCGATTGCGCTTTACCCTTGTCGAGTGCCTAGTCTTGAGAATTTAAGAAAATTACAACTAATATCGTTATAAATGAAAAAAAAAAAATTATACAGCGACATCACTTGAGGTTGAATTATTTAGATAGAAAAGATCCGATATTTTATATCTTTGTGAATCAAAAAGCAAAGCGTATAAGTGCTGTGCAGTCGTCGGATTTTAGGAAAAAAAAAAAATTGTGTGCAAATTGTATATGTATATAATTTATATTATATAATAATATATATAGAGAAAGAGAGAGAAAGAGAGAGATTCTAAATAATGCGTTCTTCACGCACTAAACTGAAATTGCAGGGTGAGACGTCAAAGACTGTTCAAAAAATATTTTTTTAAATTTCCAATTATACGGAAATATAGTTTTTAATTAACTTTTATTTATATTTTTAACGAAAACCTATTTTCTTAATTAAATTGTATTTATGAAATTTAAAATTAAATTACAATTTTTTAATTTTAATTAAATTATATTTCTGACGTTGTACTATTTTATTCTATTTATCTATAATTTTATCATTATTTATATATTATTGATGATATCTAAATATAGAAGATTTTTTTTGTCAAAAAGAAAAATGAAGTATTAATAATAATAATAATAATAAACTATTGTAAAAGTATTCTAAAAATTAAGAAAATAACGAAATATTTTAGAGTATAATTATGTATATTGTAGATTTTGGTTCTTTCTTAGGAATTTAGAATTTTTCTAGAGAAACAAAATTATGTCTATCAACGTGGCACCCTGTAAAATAAGTTACGATATTTTTAATGATAAAAGAAATCAAAACTATTTAAGAATTGACTAGTATCATTACACATATTGCGATTTGTATATCGTTATAAGAAAAGAACAAATCATTGAGAAAATTAATCTAATGAAAGGAGTATTCTAAATCAATTATGCACTATTAATGCTACATGTTTATCTGGTGTAATTAAAAAAAACACACTTCTGAAATGTATATTAAGTAGACAATGTCAATCGTTTTCAGTCACTATAGATTGTGTTGTAGATTATTTTTTGTTATATATATATATATCTAGTTAAATTTTTTTTCAATCTGCAGAAAAATAAAAATATCATCAAAAATCCATGTTTGTTTTATTTTTGAAAGTAATAAGGGGCCATCCATAAACTAGGTTACCAATTTTTTATTCTTTTGGACCCCCTCACCTCCCTAAAATAGGTAACGTAATAGACCCTAACAGATCTTTTGAATTCTATATAATGCCAAACTAGTCAACTCAATTATTGTAGAGGACCATTTTTGTTATAAATAACTCTAAATATTAGTTTAACCTAAAATTCATGCATTTTTTTAGTCAAAAAATAACATTGTATACTTATTTTCCACAAATTTATATAAAAAAATAGTTATTAAAATTAATAGAAAATTGCAATTTATAGCAATAATTTTTATTATGATAGGGTTAATTTTTTGAATTAGGAAAGAAGCCGCATTTAGCAACCTTTTTACATTTATACGTGGTAAAAAAAAAACTATTTACAGAAATGAACAAAACTACTTATATTTTATATGAGAAGAAAAAGTCTGATTCATTTAAATTTTCCTATTGAAAAAAATAGCATCGTCTCATATTAATGTTTATAAATAAAATAATTATTATTTCTAAAAAATTCTATAGAATAGATTACTTCCCCATGAACATAAGGTTTAAATAGTTGTGACGATTTTAAATTTTCCAAAAATTAGGCTTACTCTTCTAAATTTAAAAACTAATTTTGCTTTTCCCGAGGTAAATCATATGAAAGTTGCTACGAGTAAAAATAACTAAAACATGAAACACCATCTAAAATGATTAGAAGGTGAAAAATAAATATAATGCAAAGAACGTAAGCTTCAAACGTAAAAAATATTTGTTGGCCCTGAAAAGGGCCGATTGTTTTAGAGGATGTTGTTAGAAATTTAAGCTTTCTTTTCGGTCTTTTTGGGCAAAAGCACAGCCTGGATGTTGGGAAGAACACCACCCTGAGCGATGGTGACTCCAGAAAGAAGTTTGTTTAATTCCTCGTCATTCCTGATGGCAAGTTGGAGATGACGGGGAATGATTCTGGTTTTCTTGTTGTCGCGAGCGGCATTTCCTGCCAACTCCAAAACTTCAGCAGCCAAGTATTCCATGACAGCTGCGAGATAGACTGGAGCTCCGGCACCAACACGCTCAGCATAGTTTCCCTTGCGCAAGAGACGATGGATACGACCAACTGGGAATTGAAGTCCAGCTCTGTTGGAACGAGTCTTTGACTTTCCCTTAACTTTGCCTCCTTTTCCACGTCCAGACATTTTTTTAATTAGATTAGGAACAACGAAACGAACAACTCAAAGGTTGGTTGAATAATACAAAATTTTCGTCAAAATCGCCTATTTACGTTCTTCCATTAGGGTCCCCCACCACTGTTCCCCCTCCCTCAGTGCAATGAGTGGTGGGCATTTACACCGAGTGCACGCACCAATCGCATGCTTGGATGGTTCAGGGGAAGAACGTAAAAGGACGGGTTTTCAAATTTTTTCATCATTTCACTCTGTATTCTCGTTGAGTTCAGACGTACTGTTTCTCTCTCTGAAAATCGAAAATGCCTCCTAAAGCAAGTGGCAAAGCTGTGAAAAAAGCCGGCAAGGCTCAAAAAAATATCACCAAGACTGACAAGAAAAAGAAGCGCAAGAGGAAGGAAAGTTATGCCATCTACATCTACAAGGTGTTGAAACAAGTTCATCCCGACACTGGAGTCTCCAGCAAGGCCATGAGCATCATGAACAGCTTCGTCAACGATATCTTTGAACGTATCGCTGCTGAATCTTCCCGCTTGGCTCACTACAACAAGAGGTCCACCATCACCTCCCGGGAAATTCAAACTGCTGTCAGGCTTCTCCTTCCTGGTGAACTCGCCAAGCACGCCGTCTCTGAAGGCACCAAGGCTGTCACCAAGTACACCAGCTCCAAGTAAATCTTGATCTCTCCAACAAAACAATCGGCCCTTTTCAGGGCCAACAAAATTTTTTACGAAGGAATAACTTTTGTTCTGTAATTTAATACCTTTTAGAGTATACAGCATGACTTTAGTTACATTTTTATATTTAATATTATTACGTTTATTTAAATAAAACTACATTACAATCGTTATATTAATGTAATAACAAATGTCAAGTATCAAAAATTATTTTGACAGTCTAGTCTGAGGAATAGACGCAAGGAAACTTAATAGTGAATTAATTAAATATTGAGGCTCATTTTACTAAGATTGCAAATATTTAAGTATAATTATAATTTTAGACTTGGAAATTTCTCTTTTTATCGAATTTTATAAATCTTTCTTTTCTCAATATATTATTTTTAAAAATTAATATTAAATTCTATAATTTTAATGTTACGCAATGCAATATTGCAACTTACGGCAAATATCAATTTTTACGATAATATTGTCATTTGGGGACACTGGAAAAGTGTTTGGTCAGTATAATCGAACTTTGATTATGCTAAACAGAATTGTTTTGTATTTGGTTAGCCTAACCAAAGTTTGTAATACTGACCAAACATTTGGTTGCTCGGATTACGCGACGGGCGAAATAGACACGACTGTGTAAAGTGGCTATTTCGCCCGTCGAAATAAATGTGATTTAGAAAACGGGCGAAATAAGAAAAATAGATTATTTTGCCCGTCAGGTGATGTAACAAAATCGAGCGAAATAATTTAATTGAAATACAATATTTTGCCCATTAGGTGTAAACAGCTGTTGGATATTTGTCAAATTAATTTGAAGTTTTGAAAAATAATTGTTATATTGAATATCAACTTGATTTTAAAAACGTTATAAAAAATTAAGGTTTTCTATTTGAAATAGATTTTTTTTCAAAACAAAAAAATGTCAAAGAAACAAAAAATTCCAAAGTACGAAAATTTGGTGGCCCTGAAAAGGGCCGATTGTTTTGTAAGATGACAGGAAAATTTAACCGCCGAAACCGTAAAGGGTGCGGCCTTGACGTTTCAAAGCATAGACGACGTCCATGGCAGTAACGGTCTTCCTCTTGGCGTGCTCGGTATAAGTGACGGCGTCACGGATCACGTTCTCAAGGAACACTTTGAGAACACCACGAGTTTCCTCGTAGATCAATCCGGAGATACGTTTCACTCCACCACGACGAGCCAAACGACGGATGGCAGGCTTGGTGATACCTTGGATGTTATCACGCAAAACTTTGCGATGCCGCTTTGCTCCTCCTTTTCCCAAACCTTTACCTCCCTTTCCTCGACCAGTCATTTTTCAGAGAATAAAGTTCGTACGTCAAACTCGAACGAAGAACAAACTGAGAATGCGTGGAGGGGGAAGTGAGCGTTATTTTATAACATCGTGTTGCACATTTCTCCCACCACAATTCAATCTACCAATCAAGTGTCTAGAACTCCCCTTCCTGTTGGCAGCTTATTCAACAATGGGAGGCAAAAGTCTATAAATACAGCATTTTCCCCCTCCCAACATCATTATTGTGTTAGTCACTGAACCAACTACATCGTCATGGCTCGTACCAAGCAAACTGCTCGTAAATCCACCGGTGGTAAAGCACCGAGGAAACAACTTGCAACCAAGGCCGCCAGAAAGAGCGCGCCTGCAACTGGTGGAGTGAAAAAACCCCATCGTTACAGGCCAGGAACTGTCGCTCTCCGTGAGATCCGTCGTTACCAAAAGAGCACTGAGCTCCTCATCCGCAAGCTTCCTTTCCAACGTTTGGTTCGTGAAATCGCTCAAGATTTCAAAACCGACTTGCGTTTCCAGAGCTCTGCTGTGATGGCTCTCCAGGAGGCTAGCGAGGCTTACCTCGTCGGTCTCTTCGAAGACACCAACTTGTGCGCCATCCACGCCAAGAGAGTCACCATCATGCCAAAAGACATCCAATTGGCTCGTCGTATCCGAGGAGAACGTGCTTAATTTTTTTACAACCCCTTCAAAAAACAATCGGCCCTTTTCAGGGCCAACATATTTTTTTACGTTGAAATTATTTTGTTTTTGGCTGCTCCATTGATTCATTCAAAAATTAGAAAACAAATTCTCTTGTAATTATTATTGATAAAAAGTTTTTACAAAGCCATTGATCCAGTTGGTTTCAAATTTATAGGGCTTATTCACAAACTGTCAATTATTTATTATTGTTATTATCAGCAAAAACAACAGCTGAAGGAAAAAAATGGTTTCCTTGTCAGAAAACCAAAAATTACGTACGTTATAAGTTAGACTCGAACATGGGAATTTTAAAAAATTATAGTTCCCATTCAAATAATCCGATTAACAAAATTCAAAACTAAATTTCAAATGATTTTGTCTACTTTAAAAATATTTTGATTTTTAATAAAAAAAAAAAATTTTATATGCAAAAATTCTTGTAAAATAAAATATTTTTTATGAAGTTTACAAAATTTTAAATTCATGAAAAAGATCTTGAATTTGTCAAAACTTAGTACTTTTCAGGTATAACATTTTTTTATAATACCTATATATTTTTTAATAATTTCTTGAAAACTTGAAATCTGAAAAAAATTATGCCTAAACAAAGAAAATATTAAAATTTTCTTTTAGTTATCACATTTCTAATATCGTTAACTGTGCCCTCAGGTCACTCGGATTTGTTATTAGTAATGTTTTAGTGTTTCATAACCCACGAACTTTGAAATCGCTTTACTTTTCATTTGTTAGATCACAAATTGAAAATTGTTCTGTGTCATGGAGACCATATTATGCTCAATATCTTGTAAGAATCGAACGAGTTCAAAATCGTTTTCTTCGATTTTTTGCTAGACAAATAAATGTTCGTTATGACAGATTTTCACATGAATATGACAACTTACGTTCATTGGCGAGCATACCCAGACTTGCATCTAGATTTGATTATTTTGATTTACTTTTCTTTTTTAAAATTTTAACTGGATACATTGATTGTCTTCCTCTACTATGACTCATTAAATTTTCTATTCCAATACGTTATTCCAGACATTATGTACTGTTTCAAATACCATACCATAGTACAAATTACGGAATTAACTTTGTCATTAATAGATTATCAATAAAGGCGAATACGATTGCTAATGACATTGATTTCTTTAATATTAACTTAAATGCATTTAGTACAACACTGCGTAATCTATTATTTAATAATTAGTTTAATTCTTTTCTAAATAGCAACATTATACACATATATTATACAATTTGTATTTAAAGGGTACTTTATTTTTGAAGTCCCCTTTATAAATAAATAAATAAATAAATTTTCAATTTGTTCATTTATTCGTAAATTATTTATTTTTTTTATCATTCTTCTTTCAATTAAGTTAATAAAATTTTAATTAAATGCAAATTCAATCAATCGAAACTTACTAAAAGCAACGGAATTTCAATATCTAAAGAATTATCGATCTAAGTTTTAAACTATTCAAATTTTAATTGATTTAGTTTTCAAAGTAACCGAATTTCATTTCATCTAAATTTTAATTCCATGAAGTTTCAATTTACAAAAATTTTAAACTATTAATGCTTCAATCATTGATGAAAAATTAAGATTAATACAAATTTCAGTACATACAAATTAATTATTTTGCACATTAATTGTTTTTAACTATCAGTTTTTCATCACATTTTTTTATATACTTTCCGCAAATAATTCACCTTTTTCAAGATTAAAAAAATGAAATTTTAAAATTCATTTATAAATTAGTAAATGTGCTAAAAGTAATAAATATATATGTATATACAGAAACTCTTTATTGGAGCGTATAATAGTTATGTGATTTTGCAAGTCCATAGTTAAAAATAAAAATTCCTCAATACAAAAAATTAATTTTAATATTTATAAATATATATAACAATGCTAAAATAATGTTTAAATTCTTTCATTATTGATCAAAGCATTCATTCTAAACGTTTGCGCTTTCCGTATCAAAAATTTGAACTGATGCTGAACTTAAACTACTCCTAACACTTTCAATATATTGTTAAAATATAAATAAATTAAATATTCATAAAGGGGAATAAATCGAGAATTGATTTAAAAATTTAAATTTTTAACAACGAAATTTTTTAACATATTATTAACAATTTTTGAAACTTGTTACGCCCGATCGTTGTAAGCAGTGCTTCGAAAAATGTTGAATTTTACCCAAGAATGACATAAAAGTAAAAGATATTTTTTGTTAGTTAAAAAGTACAATAATCGTACAATTAAAATTAAAGATATTTACAACAATATGTCAAAGTATTAACACTTAAAAGATAACAAATTTTTTGAATGTCGTTCCTAAGTTACCGAGAATTCGAACGGCGAGCGGTGAACGAGCGGAGGGGTCTTTCTCCACCGTCCGTGCAATTGCCTAGGTCACCGATCGTCAGGGCAAAAATTTACATTTCTCTTTCACTAGTTGCTTTGAGAGTATTTCTAAAGTTACTAAACTTTTTCTTTCGAAAATTTCATTATCGAAATGACCGATAAAGTAGAATCACCAGCTGCGCCTGCAGTTGCAACTCCTAAAAAGGCTGCAGCTGCAAAGGCAAAGAAGCCACGCGCTAAAGCCAGTCATCCACCAGCATCCGAGATGGTTAATGCAGCCATCGCATCTTTGAAGGAAAGAGGTGGCTCTTCTCTCCAAGCCATCAAGAAATACATCGCTGCCACCTACAAAGTCGATGTCGAGAAGCAAGCCCCTTTCATCAGAAAGTATTTGAAAGCTGCAGTTGCCAATAAGGCCTTGATCCAAACCAAGGGAAAAGGTGCTGCAGGATCCTTCAAATTGAACGTCACCAAAGCTGAAGGTAAAACAAAGCCCAAGGCCAAGACTCCTGCTGCTAAACCCAAAGCTGCTGCTCCTAAAGCTAAGAAAGCAGCTTCTCCGAAGAAGGCTGTGGTAGCCAAGACCAAGAAAGCTGTTGCTGAAAAGAAGAAGACCCCGAAAGTTGCGGCAAAACCACCAAAGGCAAAATCCACCGCTGCCAAACCTAAAACTACTAAAGCTGCTCCAAAGAAGGCAAAAGCTTCCCCTAAAAAAGCTGCTGCACCCAAAGCTAAGAAGCCTGCAGCAAAGAAGGTTGCCAAGAAGTAAAGAGGTGAAAATGTCATTCTTGTGACATTTTCAATGGATGATTGTAAACAAACGGCCCTTTTCAGGGCCACCACACGTTTTATACGAAGGAATTTCGTTTGTTCTGTAAAACAATTTATTTCTATTCAATTATATATTACAATAGTTTGTTATATTTATGATACTGAAATTCACAGTTAAAACTTTGTCAAATTGAGCCGGTTATCATGATCATTTTTTATTGTCTTTATTTTTATGATTCAAAACTTTTAATATTTATTTAGAACAAATAAAATAAACATTTTGTTTCCTGGTGGAGGAATCTATGAAATTCTCTAATTCAATTGATTGATTTAAAACACTTCGAGTTGAAAACTTAAATTTTTTGAAAAATAATGAAAATTTTAATGCATTTTGGGTGTAACATATACTTTATATATACGAATCGATTCGTTTCAATGCAAGGAATTCAATTATTTTATGTATTAACTTGAATTTAAAAAAACAAAAATTTTTAGTTGAAACATGAATTTTTGATTTTTTAACATTCATTAATTCTTTAAATTTCAAATAAATCTATACTTTATATATACCAATCGATTCGTCTTGATGTAAGGAAGACGATTATATTATATATTACCTTAAATTTTTCTGTTTAAAAATTTGTTCAATTAAAAAAAAATTTTTGGAAAAAAGACGTTAAATTTTTTTTTTTTTTGTATTTTTAAAAATCTTCTCGTCATTCTTGAGAGATTAATGTGATAAATAAGCCTACCAAATTTTATCCAAATCCATTAAAACCTGTTAAAGATATCGTGTTCATAAAAACGATACACACACACACACACATACATACATCCGGACAATTGATCAGGATCTCATATTACAGGTTTCTATATAGAGGAAAATTTGTTTTCATCATGTTTAAAAATTTTATAAACGAAAGGACTACAAAGCACAAAGCAAAGTGAATAACATCTAAGTCAGATTTTTATCATAAGATTTTTCTTGTTCTCTTTCATCAGAAAAATTTCCAATCAAGTAGCAATAAATATTTCTTAAATTATTAACCCTTTCAGTTACATATTTTTCTTTTCACTGAATTCGCATATAACTCGTTAAGGTGCTTATATACCTCAAATTTCGATCAGATGAACATTATTTCTGGACCGTGAAAATGCGTGAAAAGTCATTTTCACGGCGGGTATTTTTGAATTGTTTTAAACAAAAAATGTTTTTTTAAGAAATATAATATTAAATAATTGTTTTAATATGTAAGAACACTTTAAAATAGTGATAGAGAGATGATTTGATTAAAAAATTTAGCAAATTTTGCTTTAAAACGTTTTCTGCTACAAGAAAGTGTAAAATGACGATGTTTGTGAAATGGTTTGTACAGTGCTTCTTCCTTGTGAGTGTCTCTCAGAGTTTTGTTTATGTTATGTCGGTTCTTTTTAACTTGTAATAAATAATGAGTGCTGAAAATAAATCGGTAAGTTGAAATGTTTATCAAATAAATTTAAATTCAACTAATTGTTTCGAATAACTGAAAGAAACATGTACACATGTACACTGTACAAACCATTTCACAAACATCGTCATTTTACACTTTCTTGTAGCAGAAAACGTTTTAAAGCAAAATTTGTTAAATTTTTTAATCAAATCATCTCTCTATCACTATTTTAAAGTGTTCTTACATATTAAAACAATTATTTAATATTATATTTCTTAAAAAAACATTTTTTGTTTAAAACAATTCAAAAATACCCGCCGTGAAAATGACTTTTCACGCATTTTCACGGTCCAGAAATAATGTTCATCTGATCGAAATTTGAGGTATATAAGCACCTTTACTCGGAGGTTTTTGGGGTCGCTGAATACGAATTTGATATCAATTTTCAAAAATTCAAAATGGCCGATCCAATATACCGAACTTATTCATAATACACACATTCAAATTACCACAATTCAATTAGCAATTGGGATCAGAAATCACGCGAAACTGACCCACCCCTGAGCCTTCTTGTGACAACCATCTTGGTTTTTTATCTCTTTCTTTTGTATATGTTAGAGAAACACGGAATGAAAACATGGCCACCACAACAAGGCTCTCACCAGATGGCGTATCGCAGTATTTCAGATCCCAATACGTAAAATGTCTTGATACTCTAGGTTTTCTACGTACTACTCATCTCTGGATATTTCTTTTATCGACATAAGTATATGTATAAAATCAATGTATTAGTATATATATATATATATATACACGTCGATAAAAGAAATACCTGTGCTAAATTACCACTTTGCACGATGACGTCACACTGGAGAACCTGATGCACCATCCATCTTGAATTGCCCCCACCCAATTTGAACTACTTTATTGTTAGAAACCAGCCTTAAAGGTAGCTTTTTTTTTGAAAACTTGCGCAGATAGTTGCGTGTAGCGTTGATTTTTCTTTGCTTTTGCCACGCGCGTCTGCTCGCTTTGCCAAAAAATTTGTTTCTTGGCTTGTGCAGAATAAAAAAAAAATGGGAATTAAAAAACCAACGAGATGCACAACCGTGTCATCGAAACAAAAGAAAAAGAAGCAAATTCCAAAATGCAATATGCAACAAAAGGTGAGCAACGTGAAACAAGAAAAAAGTGGCAAAGCACTGATTATTGCCCAAGAGATTAAGTTTGCTAGGTTACTCGCCAGCAAAGACAAAAAGGTGCGCGATAAAGTGCTTAAAAATCTGAAAAAATGGTTAACTGTTCGCGCCCAGAGTTCTTTCGGTAAGTTTTTCTTCAATTTTCAATATATTTTCTGCGCACGCGTTCCATATGTTTTATAAATTTTCTTTTAATTGATGACTTGAATCAAAATTCATTAAATTTTTCCCTTTTCTTTCTTATACAAAATGTTTCAATTCTGGAATAATATATATTATTTCCGTAAACCTTGAATGCGTGCGCGCGTGTTTATGTATACAGACAAAATGAAAAATAACAAATAATCAAATAATTTTCGAAAACATGTTTATTTTTAGAGTTATGATTATTTCGTACATAGTTTAATTGGTTTTTTTTTAAATATTTGAATTGTTAAGCTGTTTTGCAATTTTTGAATTAAAAATGATTAAAAGATTAATTTTCTTAATTTGTTATTATTATTAATTTGAACAATATTTTTTATTGTTATGAATATTAATAACTATCTTTTTTAAGTATTTTAATTTTATTTTATTCAAAGCTACTTATGAGTGTTTAAATTTGAATTTTTGTCTTTTTCCAGCATTTACAGAAGCGGATTTTGTAAGATTATGGAAAGGTCTTTATTATTGCATGTGGATGTCGGATAAACCTTTAGTTCAAGAAGAACTAGCAGAATCAATCAGCAAAATAGTACATTGTTTTTCGTCAATGAAGACTGCGCTACTTTATGTTAAATGTACCTTTGAAAGTCTCTCTACTGAATGGTTTGGTATCGATCGATATAGAATCGATAAATTCGAAATGGTAAATTACATTTTTATTTATTCAAAAATTAATTTTATTCGAATTTTTAATATTAGTTAGAGTATTCCATTAGTTGATTTATCTACATTTTTTTATTTATTTGAGAACCTGAAATTAATCTTTTCTTGCTCTTATTAAATTAACTTTTTTAACTTATTTAGAAAAAAAATAATTTTATTGTGAGATTAATAGATTGTCCTAAATTTTTGAACTAACCTTGAAATAAAACGTTTCTTGAAAAAATTAAAAACTACAAATTTATGAAAACAAATTTTATAATTGATTGATTAAAAAAAAATGCAAATTCTAAAAATTAAAAATTGTGCTAGGAAAGCTCTAAAAATTCTCTCCGTGACATTTTTCTCAAGTTTTTCTATTTCCCAAAATAATTAATTATTTTTCTATTTGAAATCAAGTAGGACAAATTTTTAACTTTCAACATTTTTAAATGAAAATTTTAATACAGTAAAAAATTGTGCTTTATAATTTTGCTTAATAACATTTTTCAAAAAATTTATTATTTAATATATTTTTTTGATAATTCGCAATCTTTAAAATATTTCTCAATATTTACTTTTGAAATTTTTGGTAAAATTTTAATTTTTTCCAAAAATAATTTACGTTACAATAGATTACAAGTAACAATGCAGCACAAGTGTTAATTTTTTTTTTTAATTGAAACAAAAGTATTTATATTAAAACTTTTGTCAATAGTTGAATTTCTCAAATATTTAAAACAAAAATTTTATTTTCTTTTACGCTTATTGTTATGTAGGCCATAAAAAAGATTTTCTTTTTTATATTTTAAGTCAAATCTTAGGGTTTTCAACTCAATTTTTACAGTAACAAAAATACACATTTAAAAAAATTTTTTATAACTTTGAAACGATATTAAACAAAATGACTATCATTTTAATACTAGAATTAAAGAATATATATATTTTCCTTCGTGCTACATTCTTGTTTTACACTTAAAATAAGCCACGTTTTAATACTAATTTAAAATTATATATTAAAATCTCAATTTAAAAAACTTTGAAATTCTTTTTTAAACTGTGAAATATCCTTGAATTTTGTTGGTAAATTTTAGTGGCCACCCTGTTAATGCGCCAATTACTTACACAAACCTTCAAAATTTCACTTATGTCTATCACAAAAAAAGGAAGAGGGAATTACATCTTATAGTACTACTTTGAAGCTTTATAACCCATTTTTGCGAATTGTATTACAATTTTTTTTTTTTTTTTAAATTATGTAAAATGGTTCAAAAATTTGTTTAAAAATTCAAAATTTACTGCTTTTTTTTGAAAATCAAGAATATTTTTGACTTTTTTTTTAATAAAGGACAGTTTTTATTTCTTTTTTTTACTCCTTAAAGTGAAGCTTAAAATGTATGTTTTTAATAGACAAATTAAACAAAATGTCGTTTTTTTGTTTTCGAGATATTAAATAATTAATTAATGTTAATAAAAAAGAAAATATTTTACAAACAAATCGTTATTATATACATTTGACTAATAAACAAAAATTTAAATCGACATATAACTTTCTTTTTAAAAAAATCGTAATATAATTTGCCAAAATGGGTGTCAAAGCTTAAAAGTAGTACAATACGATTTGGGAAAATAGAAAAAAAATTTGTAAAGCAAAAAAAAATTCACGTAAATTGCCAAAGTAGACATTTTTGGTAAAAAAAATTATCTTGGCGTGATTGGTCATTTTGGAAGTTAGATTCGAATTTTTCGTGAAAAAAAATCTACATGAATAATAATAATAATTTCCATTCGATAAATTATCTATTTCTCTTTTAGTTGCTGAGGAGGATTATTCGACAGACTTTTGAAATGTGTAAAAAGCATGAATGGAACAAAGAACTTATTGTTGAATTTGCAAAGATATTGCAAGCTTTTTTGGTTGCTACGGAAAATTCCCTAGGTCTTAAGTTACAAATAGTTGAAGTGTTCATGGAAGAACTCGCCAAAGTAAGTTTATAAATAAAAAAAAAAATTATATTTTTATTTAAAATACAAAAATAAATTTAATAGATTGCAAAATTTGTTTAAATGAATATTTTTCGAATATTTAGCTAATATTATTTTACATTCCAATAAAAAAATTTTTTTTTTAATTTTTATGGTAAATTCTATGCTTTTTTTTTGCATATTTTCTAATGGATAAAAAATTGACAATTTTCAGCAACTCATATACTTTAAATTCATATTTTACAATAAATAATTAAATTTTTAATAAAATTCTTTTCATTTCGTGATCTTGATAACTTCAAAATCGTTCCTGCAAAGTATTATAATTTTTAAAATCTAGTTGGGCGATTTCACATTCCCATATTTAGACTGTACATTTTGTTAATTCTACCAGTTAAATTTTCTAAATATGGGAATGAGAAATAGCTCCAAATTAATCAGCAACGACTTTAGTCGAAATATAATGGATTGACACTAATGTCTTTTTTTTATTTGTAGGTAAGTAATGGGCTAATTAATGAAGATATAGTTACGGAATTGGTCAGGCCTTTTGCCGTTTACTTATCTAGCATTGATGATGCTAGGCAAATGAGACACATTGTCAAAAATATATTTAGGTATTTAATATTTCAATCAAATATTGGAATGGATTATCTAGAAAAATTCGATGCCTGGAGAAAAGTGAGTGAAAAAATTTAAATTTTTAATTTTCATTGAAAAACTAAGTTTATTTAAAAATTTTTTTTTACAGGCAGGTTTTCCTTGTGGTGTTATTGATGTAATGAAAAAAGTCGAATTGTCAGATAGCGAAACAGATTTAAATAACATTAGTCACAGTTCAGATGAGGAAATTGCGGCTGGTCCATCTGATGGTCCTCTCGATCCACGAGCAGGAAGAGTCGACGTTGAAATTCCACAACTTCCATTTGATCCACAAGAAATAACCAATTTGCTTCTTGAATACAGGTTTATTCCTTCATCAACAACCAAATCTCGTCGACAAATAGTACGACTTGCAAAAGAGTAAGTTTATCCTCAAATAATTCTTGTTTTTTCTTTTTCATGTTTTAATTTTTTCGTTTGTTTGTTTTTTTTTTTTTGCCCTCAGATTCACTCTTATGGCAAATGGAGAAATGCCTATTGGTGTCAAGGAAATTCAAGTTCCTTTGAAGAAGAAAAGCATCAATAAAAAAGCAGCGTTAAATCTTCTTCAATTCGAGGAAGAATTGTATTTGGATTCAAATAAAGCATTGCGAAAACGAAAACGCAAGAACGATGACGATGATGATGATGAAGATGAAGATGATGAGGACGAGGATGAGGAGGAAACTGTTTCGGAAATTAAAAGTGTCAATGGAAAGGATAAAAACTTGACAACCGAAAAAATTATCAACAAGAAACACAAAATGGAAAATACCGAGGCATCGAGTTCTAATGTAAAATCGAAGAAAAAGGAGAAAGTCACAAATTCGGACGCAATTATTGTGAATGGAAAACTAAAGAAAAAGAAGCACAAAAAGAAAAATAAAGTTTCGGAATTCGGCACTTGTGGTGATTGGGATGTTTCCAGTGCAGAACCAGAGGAATCTTTAAATTTTGAAGAAATACAAAGAAAACAAAATAGCATTGCACTGTCAGTTTTAACTGAATCGTTGAAAAATTCTAAATTACCAACATTGAGGCCTGTTCTCACTAAACTCGAGGATCAAAATGGCGTAATTAAATATATTTAAAACATTGTCTTTTTTTAAATTTATTATATAGATATTTATAAATTTTGTTTTTCTTTCCAGAAATTGGGCTGTTTCGATGTAAAGGCAAATTTTACACCAAATAAGAAACGAGTGAAAATAATGTTGCAAAAAAATACGGCACAACATACATCAGAATATTTTCAACAAATTCGACAAAGTCCAGCGATTCCTTATGACGCTAATCGAAAACCACGAGCGGGTGTTTTAAAACCAAGTCCTCTGCCAAGCCCGATAAATCCCTTTTATAATAAAAAAAATCGCTAAATTTTATAGGCGAGAAAAAAAGGGAAAAAAGGCAATTTTATTCAAGTGGTCAGTGATAGCAGTGTCATTTGAACATCAATTATATTTTTTTTTTATCCTTTTTATCTGTGACTAGTTAATTTGTACAGAATCTGGTTACAGATATATTCACATACACATATATAATTTTAATGCATTAAGTCCTGATGATCTTTTACTATATTCATTTTCATATCAAATGCGACCAATAGATTTGTCGACTTGTAAATATTTCAAATAAATAAATTTCGCTTATCAACATTAGATTACAAAAAAAAAACTCGATGTTTTATTTTAATACTTTTTTTTTTCTTATCAAGAAGATTTTTTTTTATTTTTATCTACTTTATGTGGAAGTTGAAGTAAGATTTCAGTTATTTCGGAGTAAGTAAACCAATTGCAATGAAACTAAGGAATTTTAATCTATGGATTAAAATTGGATTAAAATTCCTCAGTTTCATTGCAATTGGTTTTCTTATTCCGAAATAACAGAAATCTTACTTGAACTTACACTTGTATTTCTTCAATTTATATCAAAAGCGACCAATAATAGATTTGTCGATTTACAAATTTAATATTTCAAATAAATAGATTTCGCTTATTTTCATTAGATTACAAAAAAAAACTCGATGTTTCATTTTAATACTGTTTTTTATTTTTATTTTTTTTTAATAAAGAAGATTTCTTTTCTTTCTTATCTACTTTATATTTTTTCAATTTCTAAAAATTGAACTGTAGATTTTTTCGAATTTGTACCATATATAGAAAGGTTTCAGTCGAATTTTAACAGTCGATAATAATTGATTAACATTTTTAGTTACATTTTTACTTACAAGAAAGTAATATACTGAAAATATATTTTGTTGTTTTTTAAGACAGGTAACTTGTATTTTTTTTTTTGTAATACAAAAAATTTATTTAATATTGAGCTCACTTGCTCTTTTGTATCATTGAATTTTTAAAGTTGTGTTTTTTTTTCCTCAATATAATATTAATTCGATTTTAGACATTTGTTTTTTGGGGAGAATTTTAATTATTTTTCAAAGGCACCGAAAACGTTTTAAATACATTTTTCATTTTCTTTTTGTAATGATAGTTTCTTTTTTATTGTATTCAAAAAGTTGCAGTATTTTTAAAAATAATTAAAATATTGCAATTTGTACAATAATTTTTTAAAATGTGATTTTTTTTGCCTTAAATTGAGATTTTCAAATATTAGAAATTAAAATTAGTATCTATTTGTAATGTACACTATTTTAATTTCTAAAATTCAAAACCAAAAAAATTTTTGATTTTATATAAAACCATTTTTTTTGTAATTTTAAAGAACTTAATTTTTAATTGGAAATCTCTTAGAAAAACTATAGAAGATCTATTTTTTTTTTACATTTACACTGGAGAGTAAAATTTACATAAAAATATACATATATTTATTTCATTTAAACTAAAATAATTCTTTGATAAAAAAAAGAAAACGAGAAAAATTTTGGTATTTCCCGTTCAATTGAATTTAGATTGTATTACAGTTAATTGAAATTAATAAATTTCAATTAACTTATTTAATTTTGAAATATTTCGTACTTGAATTTTTAAAAAATATAAAACATCCAACACAAAAGTTGATTGAAATTCTAGTCGGAAATGTTAAAGTTACTCGAAAATTGTATTTTCGATGCACAAGAATATTTCATCTATATCGATTTAAATAAGTCTAAGATTTTTTTTTATACACGTAATATTATATACAAGTTGACAATTGAACTTTCTTTGATTGAAGAATAATTCAATATTACTTACTAAAATTCTGATTGAATTTTTTGAGAAAAACAATCAGGTTTTTCTATTTTCATAATAGTTTGGCACGTGAATTCACAGTTTCTTGTGATTCTTTGTTAAGAATTTCGACTTTATAAACTAAATGACAATTTAGAAAATAATTTTTTTTTCATTTTCTTCATTGACTTTTAGTTTCAGGTCGAACGTTCTCGATACAAGATTTAATTATTATTATTATAATTATTCCCGGGGAAAAAAATGATTTTCCCTCATTTCTACAATATGTAATTACAATTTTTTTTCACAGGGAAGCAACATTTTTAATTAAAAATAAATATTTTGAACTAATAATTAATTAGTTATTTTTAATTGCCTCCCTGTTTGACAACGATAAATATGTTTTTTTAATTAGACTTTTCTACTTAACAATATCATTCGCCCACATTGAATAGAGGTACGAAAGCATAAAATATAATGACAGCAAAAGCTGAAAAATTACACGAATTACATTTTTCGTTAGAAAATTAATTATGAATTAATCAATTCCGGTTCAAATCTCTAAGTTGAAGAAAGTCTTGGAAAATATTGCAATATTCACAAAAATCAGGTTTTGAGAATATATTTAATATATAAGTAGGTATTTCAGCCTCAAGGGAAAGTGAAACATTTGAAGATGAATTTGTACTAAGTTTGTTGGTAACTGTGTTACATAATCTCAAACTTAAACAATGTTTATAAAAATATATTTTTTAAAAGAAAAATAATAATTACAGCAGAAATGATTGTTCTATAATAATAATAATAATAATAATAATAATAATATAATAATAAGTTAATTTTTAATTTCAACAATGAAATAAAAAAATAGATTGAAGTATTTTTGTTTTGCAATTCACTTTAAACTTTATGTTTAAAAATAATTTAAAAATTGTAAATAAATTCTGAAATATTTTTTCAAGAAAATTTACCAAAACAAAAAAATTGTGAAGAAAAAATGCTTTGATAATAAAATTCCATTGTAGTTTGAAATTATGTAAAAAAAAAAAAAAGGATGTGACCAACATGAAAATATTTGTAAGAACTTATTTATAAAGGTAAGAGGAACACATTGTTGCAATTAGTTATATAATTATTCTAATCTCTATCTAAGTTTAGTCTCAATTTTCTCAAATATTTTTTTTAGAAAATTGCGATTTCCAATGCCAATACCATCCCATCTCGAGTTGACTAAATCCTGAGCTGAAGAGGGATAGGCAAATGAAAAACAATACGTGGAGAATTGTCCAAAATTGAAAAAACGATGAGGTCAGTATTAATATCATTGCGGACCCTGAAATGATTTTTTTTACATTTTTTTTTTAAATTTTTCAACAAAATACGTTTTTTAGTATACAATGCAGATCTTCTATATTTCAATTATTTAACAAATTTTTAATTAAAATTCTTCACTAAATTAATTATTTTTAATAATTTTAATGAAATTCTTCACAAATTCAATTATCTTAAACTAATTTTCAAATTAAAATTTTTATGAATTTTAATAATTTTTTATATTTAAAAAAAAATAGCAAATAAAATTATAGCAAAAATTTTTAATTCAAAATCACTTGAAATTTAATTATTTGAAAAAATTTCAATTTAAAAGCTTCTAAAATTTAATTATTTCTAAAATATTCCATATAAAATTTTTTGAAATTTAATAATTTCAATTATAACTCTCCTAAAATTCAATTATTATTTTTAATGATTTTTATATATTCTTCGAAAATTCAACTATCTGAAACCATTTTTCGCTTAAAAAATTTTCAAATTATTGTATTTTTGTCTGCAATTTTTAATAAATTTTTTAGTGAAATCATCAAAAATTTTTAATTAAAAGTCACTTGAAGTTCAATTAATTTCAAAAATCTAAATTGTAAATCTTTGAAAATTCAATTATTTAACTAAAAATTTCAACTTCAAAATTATAAAAAAAATTAAAAATCTATAAAACTTAAATTTTTTTGGACCATCAAAACTTAAAACTTTGACAAAATTTTGAATTCGAATAAATTGCTTAAATGAGACTTCAAAAAAATTAAAAAAATGGAAATTTAAGAATTTTTTTTAGAAATTTGTCCTACTAAAATAAAATTTTGAAAATTTGTCTTACAATTCGTTCGATTCTGAAATATTCGAAATCAATTTTCTTGATAATATTTTTATATAGAATTATTCTCATTACAGAATTAATCAAATGAATTTAATATCTAATAACATTAGTTATTTAAACTAAAATATTCATTAACCTATTAAATTTTGTTAAAATAGAAAGAATTGACTTTTTCGACTTTTTTTGGAATATAAATCGACTAAAACGACTTTTTTTGTGCCGAAGAATATAAATAATTTTAAAAACTCAACTTTAGGGGGTTTTAATTTTTTAATAAAAAAATTTTTTTGCTGTAAATTGAAGAAATATTTTTGAATATTTGAGATATCATTGAAGTTTAGTTAATAATTTAATTAATCGATTTAATTATTTAAAATGTATTATGATGAGAATAAAAAAAGGAAAAAAAATAAAAGATTTTTAACAAATCTAGTAAAAAATTTTTTTCTAAATTGAACAATTTTTTTTTTAAATAAAAAGTTGAATTAACTTTTGTTTCGTTTGTTCAAAAAAAAATTCACTTTTTTTCAGAAAAACTTTCAATAAATAAAAAGAAAAGTTTGAATTTAGGTCTAGTGAAAAATTGTCAGTGCAAAAAATATGTACTAATTTAATTTTCAAGTTTTTATGAAAAATTTCTAAAAAATTTAAATTCAAACAATATAATACCTATCTTTTTTTCAGATTCTAAAATATGAAAATTTCTTATACTGACCAGTGAGAAGTGTCCAAAAAACAAGAGCAATCCTGAGTGGTAATTGACTTGGTTTCGGCCATGGGACATCGGAAAATGATTTTTTCTCAGCAAATTGTTTAAGAATTTGTTCCTTGTGACACCATCTTTCCTCAAGCCAACGACGTAAATTTGTTTCATTCTTTGGCAAATCAACAGCGTCTATTCTTTTCACTAATACATGCACTTCATTGGGCATTTTTCCAGTTATCAAATCAATTTCCGATTGTGGAATATTGTCCGGATAGCCTATTGTTAAATCGTATACTGAGTCGAGGTAGTTGGATTCCTGTAGATGACGTGCTAAATATGTGAAACCAGTTGTTTTTGGATGGAGTGTGTAATTATAATTAGGAAGTCCATGCTCGACGGCATATTTATTGGATTTTTCTTGACTACTTTGTGTCAAATCTGTACCCTCGGGAAATATAAGAAATTGTGTGCGACGACGAAGATCTATTAAATAATCAAGGGAACGTGATAGACGACCTTGATCTTCTTCCCAGCGGCGAGTTATGTACAAGAAGCTGTTCATCTGCATTATCCAACCTGAGGTAATTTTTTTTTATATAATAATATTATCCTTTTATAAAAATTTATTATTTATTTTTTTTTTTTATTATGACACGATTTATTTTTATGAATTGCGTTTGTAATTATTTCACTTTTGTCAAATGAAAAAATTGACTATTTCCAAGGAGGAAAAATAAATTAAAAATAATAAAAAGTTTTATATGGGTATAAAATAATAATAATAATTTTAAATTATTCTTGATGGAAAATATTTTTTTAATGATTGTAAAATTATTTTACAAAAATATTTAGAATATGAACATTTTTTTACTTTTTGCTTTTACTTTCCGTCGGTTCAATAGTTTAAAAAAAATCAAATCATTTTAAAAAAAGAATGTAAAAATCATACCTGGTCCAGGAATATGACGAATGGGATCCTTTAAAATAAATTTAAGTTTATGAGCAGCAACATTGGGCAAACATGCTTGATACATGGCGCCCCATAAAAAATTCCAATCCACTCTTGTTCGATGATTCATTACAAGTATTGCCGAATCATCAGGAGAAATATGATCACCGGAAACAATAATTTTCATCCCTAATAATTCCATAAGAGCCTGTGCAAATATAAAAAAAAAAAAAAAAAAAAATGATCAAAAACTTAAAAATGAAAAAAATAATTGAGAAATCGATTTTTTTTTTTTTTGCAATAAAAATAATAACTTACCGCGGGATAAAGTTCCCAGCATGAAAATAAAAGATCTCCATATCGTCGAAATTTTGGGGGACTTATTAACAATAATGGTAATAAGGGGCAAGCGATGAATAAAAATCCCGCCACAATACTCCCATACCACAAACTGCAGTAGATAATTCCACGTAAAAGTCCACGCATCCCGTTTCGTCAAAAATTTCTAGACATAATTTTTTTTCATTATATTTTTCAAAAAAATTTAATTCATTAATTTGAGAAAAAATTATAAATATACAATATGAAAAATTTGATAAATATTTAGTTCACAAAAATTGCAATTTTTAATTGTTTATAAATGAAAAAAAGAAAAATTTAGTGAAATTGAACAAAAAAAAAAAAAGTTTGACAAAATTTAATCATCAACTAATTGAAGTAATTAATTTAAATATTTGAAGAGTCTAGAAAATCGTTAAATTCGCTTGACTGCTTCTCAAAGAAACTTTTACAATTTTTAAAGTGGAATCAGACGAAAAGTCACATCAAAATTTAGTCTAATTTTATATTTTCGAATTTTTAAATCAAAAAGAAATTTATAATTAAATTATTTTTAAAGTGAAATTTAATGAATAATTTTCTTTTGTCGCTTTAAATCATTAAAAGTTAACATTGTTAAAAAAAATTAAATATTTCTGGAATTGATTAATTATTTTTTCTAAATAATTTTCTTTTAAAATAAAAAATCGTTATTTTGTAGGAAAAATTTGAATTGCGACGATTTTAAATATTAATTCCTGTATTATATTATTATTTATTATCAATACAAATAATAAATTTTCTATTTGTATTATTAACTAATTAATTAATTAAAAATCGAATTAAATTTTGCAATAAATATTGTTTATTCAAAATATAAAGCGATTTAAATTCTCGTTTTAGAAGAATCGGACGAACAGTCAAAACAAAAGTTGGTCCAATTTCATATTTTCATATTTAAAAAAAAATTTATAATTTTTACTAACAGTAAAAACGTGAATAATACTATGTTAAATATTTAAGTTAAGTTTCCTATTCACAATAGAAATTGTAATTTTTATTAGTTCAAAATTAAATTTACATTTGTATTAAAATATTTTTAAATTTCCAAATTGGTTTTTTATTTAAAACTTCAAAAGATAGAGTTGAACTAACTTCTGTTTCGATTGTTTGTCTGATTTTTTCCTATGAAAATCTGTCAAAACGAGACGAAATCTAACGATAATATTTTGACAACTGAACGATAATCGTTTAGGATTTTTTTTTTATCGTAAAACCTCTCGATCGAATGCAACACAAATTTAATAAATAAGAACAAATATGTTAATAAATAATTTAAATAAAAATTCAAAGTTCAAACATATGGATAAATAATAAAAATAAGTGAACAATGAGAAAATTAATTGAATAAAAAAAAAATCCACGTGAAATTTAAAAAATTATTTTTTCTACAATTATGTATAAATCTTGAAAAATGGAATATATTTTAGGAAAAAAAATACTTTTTACGAGAGAAAGGGAAAATTATTTCTTGTGATGAATTAAAATGTCAATTTTGATAGATAATTAAAAGGAATTATTTAACATTAACACTAAGTGACTTAAATTAATGAAAAGAAAAGAAGGAAAAATCGTACCACATTTCACAGACATTGGTCGTTATCTACTGCCTTGTCACATGAAGAATTGTACTGGCTTCCCTCTAGTATTAGCAGAAGGGCTTCACAATTTCCCACACCCCTGTTTTTCTCTCTTGCACTCTACCCAACTTTATATTTCCACCCTCTGCCATATACTGGTGGGATGCTGTGTTGGACCATTATTGATCTCAAAGCCACTAACACAGTTACACTATCACACGATTTTTTTCTTTCATCCAAGTTAAATTATCCCACTAGAATGATCGCGTGACGCAAACATTTCTTGAATTTTTTTTTTTTTTTTTTTTTTTTCAATAAAAACTTTAAAAAACTATAACATTTTTTTCCATAAATACAAAAACAATAGTAAAAGAATGGGAAATTAAAAAAAATTTCTTCTTTTCATCATCATCATCATATATATATATATTTTTTTTTTTCCTCTTTCTGACATTCACCACTTATTTACAAATAGATTATATCCGTACAACTTTTTACATTAAATATTTCATTTGAGACCATATTCATGCGAGCTACATTATAAAAATTGGAATAAAATTCTTGTAAAAAGGAAAAAACAAATTTACCAAGAAAAATTTGTAGAAAAAACAATTGTGAAAGAAGATAAAATTTATGTATTTTGATAATTCTAATATAAATTTTATTTATTTTTTTTTTATCAACTTTCACGATTATTACAATTTTCCTCACTATCGTAGAAAAAATTTGTTTTCCAATTTTTTAAGACCCTCGAATTTTAAAATTTATTATAACAATTCATCATAATTACTCTTGACATATTGACACTAAATGTTTTATTTCAATAATTTTAGCTAGCTAGATTTTTGTTTTGTTTGAACATTTTAAAAATGAGAGGAAATAAAGATGAAAGTTTGCATCGATGAAAATATATATTACTTGTATAAGATATTCTAAAATGAGGTAAAGAAACCATTTCACCTTTGTGCTAATTATCCTTGAGCCCATTTTACTAGACCACACCCCCCTTTTTTATTTGTAATTCAAATTTAAGTCATACGTGTAAAAAAATAAATTAAAAATAAAAAACATTGTTTTAAAAAGGACATACATAATTTTGAAAAATTAATTACGAAAATGAATAAAACCCATAGACGAAATGTAAAGGAAAAAAATAGTTTTGATTAAAAATAAATTTTTTCAAAAAATTGTTCCTTTGACAAAAACACGAGATTTAGTCAATATTTTTCATAAAAAAAAAAAATTCACATCCTTTGTGAATATATACTAATAGAAGAAATAAGATTCCACATATACAGAATCTTGCAAAGTGTGCCGAAAATTCAGCAAGCCTCTTATACGTTTATAATGCACTTTGACTTGAGATATTATTTTTATAAAATATGGAATGATCCCTATGGCTATAATAAATAGCCGGAATATTTATCTAAAAGTTCTTTCACTTCGGTTAAAATTTTCTCATCGTCGCTTGTTGGCATCTCGTAAATTTCATTTAAATATTCAACAGCCTCTTTATATTGGCCGAGAGCGATATGTGATTTTCCGAGAAAAAGTTTATTCTCAAGAAATGGCTCTTTTGCCAATGACTCGGCTTTCTTGAAATGTACGATTGCATCTTCGTACGAGGCATTTGGAGGCTTTGCAAATAATGTTGATGCAACCTGAGAAAAAACAATTATCTTTTATTAAATTAATAATAATTAATCAATTATATTAAAATTATTATCGAAATTAAAAAAATTATTTTCACAAAAAAGAAAAAAAAGACACAATTCTTACTTTTCTCTCGATCCAAGTTAAATTTGATATTTCAAATTTAAACCTTCCCAAAAGATGATGTACAGTGCTATCATCTGGTCGAAGTTCCAATGCTTTTTCAACATATTCTGCAAAAAGATAACCATCGACTATTTTCTCTTTTGTCTTCATAAACTTTCCTCTTGATCCCACGAGAATGGCGTACCATTTGTAAAGATCCGCATCCGGAATTCCTAGAGCTGACTCACATGCCTCGATGCCTAAAAATTCATTTTAATTATTTTACTAATTTAATTTCAAATAATTTAAAAAAAAATTACTTTCGAATTGCGAAATTTTTTTTCATTAGAATAGTAATTTATTTATTAAATAATAATAATAATAATCTTTAACGTCCTTCACTATTCAATAACTAATTCATTATTAATATACAATTAATTATTAAATAATAACAATAATATATGTTAACAAAATTTTTAGTACTTTTTTTTACAAAGTTAATCAAGGTAATTACGAAATTATTAATAAAAAATAATAATCAATTTTTTGTTAAAAATCACCTTCAAATATAAATTCCCTTTGAATTTCCGATTCAGTTGCATTATTGGAACAATCATGACAAGACCTTGCGAGCCTCCAAACAATATCCACATCATTGGGATAAGAATTAACTAACGATTTTAATTTAAAGTATACCTCAGTGTGCAAAGTTTTATCCTTTCGGTCTTCATCGAGATTAGCAAGTATTGAATCCACACCATTTATTGTTCCTGTCCTGCATCACTAAACATATATACACTTTCTTCCTAAAGTTTAAAAAATTTCGATCCCAAAGGTTGTATAATTACTAATGAATGCCATCTATTTTTTTTGCGAATTTGTGAATACATGAAATTACACTTAAGTGCAAAATAACATTCAAATAAACATTTGTGATATTTATATATACGGTGCACCAAAAAAATTAAACATAAAACCATAAAAATAAAAACATAAAAAATTAGTAAAATAATTTTTCTTTTTCTTTTCAGAAGTGAATCGATTTGATTATATTTCATTCAAAGTCGTTTACAAACTATTTTTAGAAAAAAATCTGATAATTTATATACAAATGATTTTTAACGCATCATTTTTTGCAATTAAAATATTTTACGAAGCTGAAGTACGCAACGTTTATGATAAACGATTTTCAAAGAAATAATTTTTTAAAATGAAAAATTCTATAATTTTTTGCCTAAAAAATATTTCTTGTAGTTTTTATTAATGAACAAATTCAAAAAAATATTTTTTAAGCTGTTTTAGGTAAACAAAACAAATTCAATAAAAATTGATTTCTAATCGTTGAACACAAACGTTGCGTACATCAGCATTGTATATTTTTAACTTTCAAAAAAATATAATTAAAATATTTATATAGAAAGAAAATTTTCCATTTCTCTAAAAATCTATTTTTATCTAACTTTTAAACCTTTTTTTTTTAAACTTCGAATGAATTAAATTATAAATAAATTAAACAGTTTTACAAATCGGAAAAATCCTTGATTTTTTCCTTAAATTTTCCTTTTATTTTATTTTTTTGGGATTTCTACAATTATCGATTTTTCTTTCAATGTTTTTTTTCTACAATTCTCTATTTTCTTAAATTTTTTTTTTTATTTTCATTGTCTAAGATTTACGAATGATTTTTCTCTCAAATTCTCCTTTTATTGAAATTCATAACATTTATATTTAAAAATTGGATCAAAATTCAAATTTTTTCTCACAAATTGTTTTTTTTTATTGTGGAAATTTCCAAAATTCTCGATTTTTCTTCCCTTTAATAGTGTATTTTCTTAATTTTCTATTCACTTTCTACTATTCTTAGGTTTTTTTTTAATTCCATATTTTCCTCATATTCTCTTTTGTTTAATACCTAAAATTCTCCATTTTGTTTTCTATCTCTTTGACTTTATTTCCTTTAATTTTTCTAAAATTCTTAACTTTTTTAACGGTTAACGGTACTTATTGGAAAACGATATTTTCTACTTCATTCCAATTTTAAAAAACAAATAATACTTGAATTTTAAAAAAATTAATTTGTCGCTTTTTAAATTACAAATCGCAACGACTTCAGATGAAATAGAATTAAATTGATCCAAGTAAAAGAAAATATTTTGTATGTTGCACATTTAGATTTAAAAACATTAAAAATTTAAAAAAAATTCTACAAAAAATGTCTAGTCAATAAATAAAAAGCATCATATAAGAAAAAAAAAAAATTATAAAACCTCTAAGATCAATCGAAAATAAAATTTGACAAACCTATTATCGAGATCTCCAGCACCGCCTTCGCTGTCGGAACAATCGAAAAATTCATCGTCTCCAATATCAGTGCCCGCTATTGAATAAGCATCGACATCGGTTTCATTATCGGTGGCGTTATAAGTATTTTCTTCAGACAAAGTTTGACGACTTCCCATCACTTTTTTCCTTCTGCTCCTTTGCTGCTTCTGCTGTAATCTGGAAAGAAATTAAATATTTTTTAAATCGAATTTCTCACAAATATAAAAGTATACGTATATATTACAAAAATATTTAAAAATATAAATAAAAAAAATAACTATACTATTAAATAATTATATAAAATAATTACAAAATAATAATTTTAATAATTTAACCATTTTATAATAAAATAAAATTAATTCTTTTTGCAATCTTTTTACCAATATCAGTGATATTAATTCTCGATTATAAAATTATAATACCTTAACGCATTTAATTCAGCCTGTAATTCAATGACTTTTCGATTGACTTGATCGACTTTATGATCCATTGCTTTATGTTGTTTTTTTTCCTCAATAATTTTATTATAAATAAATAATGTTGCTGCTGTTATGACTCCAACAGTTGCACTAATAGCAACTGCCATCATTGTTGAATTTTGCATATTACTCATGGTGCTGAAAATAAAAATTTCTCAAATTATTTATTTAGATTTTATTATAAATAATTAATAATTTCAAAATTATGATTATACTTAAAAATAATTAATTAAATTTTTAAACTAAAAAATATTATCACAAATCTTAATAAACTGTTAAATTTGTTAATTAAGCTAATTATAAAAACAATGCGTAATCTAATTTGCCTTTTTTTAACATTATCGCTCTTTGGTATCGTAGAAAATATATTCAGAACAACTTAGAATGATGTTTCAAATTTATTATGCGAATTATAATTATATACGCTTGTTACGAGTATAGAAACGTGTTATTTGCAACAATTGACAATATCATTTCAATTTTTGAGAAACTTTTACTCAATTAGGTTAAATATTGATATTTATAATTGTAACGATAACATATTGTTAATTATTTTTTTTACAGACCTATTTATAATTATATCGTATCATATTTCCAATGATTATCAACGAAAATCGTATAAAAATATAAATAAATCAATTAATTTGCAGCAACAATTTATTTTAATATCAATCAACAAATAAATACAAATTCCATAAATAAAATAAACTGGTGACAATAGTTCAACTTTCAAAAAAATAAGTTATATGAAAATTAAGTTATAAAATTTAACAAAAAAGTAAATATTTAAATAAATAAATACCTGGATTTTTGTGTCAGCTTTTTATCGATTAAAAGTCATAAGAACAAAGTTTAGTCGTCAGACCTTGAATTCCCATAAAATATTTTCATTTAATTCAGTTTCCCACACGTAATCACACAATGTCAAACTGTGTTTGAACCAGTTAGAAAATGACACAAATAAAATGGATAATAATAATGCGAAATCTTTCACTGCAATCTTTTTACATTCAAAAACTAGAAAAAATTTTCTCTAAAATCAATCATGACCGGTTAGACTATATTATATAGGTGTAAATTATAAAGGTTATGTTGACACAAAAATCTCGTGATAATTGATTAACTTTATAATTATATAATTAAAATTCAAAGATGTTAATCTTATTTTTCCATCCGTTGCACCAAAATGGAAAAGTGTCACAAATTGCAATTTCTATTATAACCTCTAAATAAACAACCACATACACAAATTTTTCTCTGTTAGTTGACAATTTCGACTTTTTACTAATATTTCTTTTAGATGAGAATAATTATGAAACTTTAAATCGATTCTACTTATTTTCTATTAAAGCACTTTTTTTGGGGTTTTTTTTCGAAATTTTCTCTTTTCCAATACTGTCGACACACATTTATACACCAATAAAAAAAAAAAATCTGGAAAATCAGCAATTATGCAGTGCTTGTGTTTGTTATGAGTTCCGATAAGGAAGAGTATTTCATTATCATCATCAGTTAATTCATGGCTGTTAGCATAATTTCTGTATTTTGACAAAAATGTATGTTAAAAAAATGTAATTATAAGCAAAAATTATCTTTGTACTCGCATATATTTCAGAGGAAAGTAATTCAATATCATTTTTAAATTTTTAATTATCAAAGCTACATTAGCGCCTCTTGCAACGACTCTCAGAAACAATACCGTTTGTCGCTTTTTCAGATTATCGATGATTGTAGTTTTTCCATCATATTTTCCAAGTGTTTTTGTTAAAATTAGGTTTAAATAGAAAAAAAAAACACCCCTAAGCAACATGAGAGAATTACGTGAAAATCTCTGTATTATAGTCGAGTGTTTAGTGAAGTTTTAATGATACAAAACTAAAGTAGAGACGCCAGTGATTATTTTGGAAAAATCATAACAAAGGGGAATATTTTCCTTCTGCTAAGGGAAAATAGCATATTTTTTTTTCTTTTAATGAACTAAAGTGATAAAAAAAAAACAAGAGAGATTGATAAAAATTAGAGCAGTATTAAAATTCTATAAATGGCCCTTTTATTTACGAGCATGTGGGACTCAACAATGTTCCTGAGCACTCTAACCCCTAAATTTTATGTTGCTCTCACCGGAACATCATCATTAATTTCAGGACTTATTTTAATTTTTGAGTGGTGGTATTTCAGAAAGTATGGAACTTCATTCATTGAACAAGTTTCTTTAAATCACATATCACCGTGGATCGGTGGTGGAGACACATCAAGTGATGGAAATAATTCCAGGTAGTGTTTTTTTTTTTTTTACAACAATTTTTCAACTATCAGGACTCGAATTATACGATTTTTTTCGACTTATTTTAATAAGCTGACACTTTTCCCTTTTTTTAAAAACATTTTTTACATTATTTTTAAATAAAAAATGTTTTTCTTTTTGTTATACAATGCAGATCTTTATTTCAATTCTTTAACAAATTTTTTACCAAAATTCTCTAAATTAATTATTTTCAATAATTTTAATGAAATTTTTCACAAATTCAATTATCTTAAACTAATTTCCATATAATAATATTATGAAATTCAATAATTGTTTAAAATTTTCCAAAATTTTCTAAAATTTAATAATTTCAATTATAACTCTTCTTAATGATTTTTATAATATTCTTCGAAAACTGAATTATTTGAAAGAATTTTTGATAATTATAAATTTAAAGTTCAATTTATGCCCTTTAATTTATAATAAATTCTTCATTAACAAAAATCACGAAAAATTTAAATTAAAAATCACTTGAAGTTCAATTATTTTCAATTCTTTAAAATTTAATTATTGTCTGAAAATTTGAAATTATTTTTGAAAAATATCAACTGTAACTCTTCCAAAATTCAAAATATTTTTAATAATTTTAATATTTCTTTAAAAATTCTACAGCAGTTTTAATTTGCAAAAAAATGTATTTCAAATTTTGCAAATTCAATTATTTAAAAAAAAAAATTTTATTTAAAAATCTGAAAACCTTAATTATTATCCGAAATTTTTTTTTACCACTAAAAACTATGCGAAAATTTTTATTTCGAATAAATTGCACATCAAAAATTAAAATTTTGAAAATTTTTCTTAGTTTGATTCAAATTAAAATTTGAAATATTCCAAATAAATTTTCTTGATAATATTCTTTTTAAGTAATTAATTAAATGAATTTAATATCCAATAACATTAGTTAGAATAAAGTAAAATATTTATTGACTAATTAAATTTAATTAAAATAAAAAATCGAGAATAATCGAATAAAAAGTCGATCCAAGGTCTGAACTACTTGCTATTTTCTCAAAATTTTTATTAAATTAAATTTATATTATAAAAAAATTGCGGATTTGATTAAATTCAAAATTTTTTTTATTAATTTTTGATACTGATTAATAATATTTTTCAGCATAAACAGTACAAATTCCTCGAATCAACAAAATGTACCTGAATGCAAAGTATGGCGAAATCCAATAAATCTTTTTCGAGGCGCCGAATACCAAAGGTTCTATTGGGCAACAAATAAAGAGCCCTTGACTTATTACGATATGAATTTATCGGCGCAGGATCATCAAACATTTTTCACATGCGAAGGCGATAATGGAAAAGCTGAATATGAAATAATGCAAACAGCATGGAGAGAACGTAATCCAATGGTGCGAATTAAAGCAGCTCACACGGCACTTGAACATAATCCGGATTGTGCACCGGCTTATATTCTGTTAGCCGAGGAGGAGGCAACGACAATTCTTGAGGCGGAGAAAATTCTTAAACAAGCGTTAAAAGTTGCTGAGAATAATTATCGTAAATCACAAAATACACAGCATCAAGGTTCGATAGCCGAGGCAATTCATAGGCGAGATACAAATGTTTTGATTTACATTAAACGAAGACTCGCGATGTGCGCGAGAAAATTGGGAAAATTAAAAGAGGCGGTGAAAATGTTTCGCGATTTAACCAAGGAGGTGCCGCCAATTATGAATGTATTAAATATTCATGAAAATCTCATTGAGGCATTGCTTGAGATGCAAGCCTATGCGGACGTTCAAGCGGTTTTAGCAAAATATGACGATATAAGTTTACCAAAATCGGCGACAATTTGTTATACGGCCGCTTTATTGAAAGCGAGACTTGTTGCTGATAAATTTTCCCCTGATATCGCCAGTAAACGAGGATTAACCACATCGGAAATGTCGGCTGTTGAAGCTATTCACAGGTATAATTATTATTATTTAACATTTTTATTCAATTAAAAATTAAATTACTTACTGAAATTTCTGTTGAATTTAAATATTTAGTGAAAATTTAGTTTATTAATTTGTTATTTAACAGAATTTCCAGGGTGGCGATATGACCAGGAATTTCAATTGTGACCAGTAAATTTATAGTTAAACTGGAAATTTTTCAGATATTCTAAAAATTTATATTGTCTATTACATCTTGTAGCATTAATTTCTCAGAAAAATGTATTTTTAAAATAAGTATCTAATTATTTTTTTATAGTAGTGCATTATTAAAATTTGAAGAATTAATATTAAAAAATAGTTATGATTTTTTTTTAGAAAAATGGTAATTTTTTGTTTGAGAAAATTAAATTATTTACAAAATTTTGATTGGGAACAACAGAAAATTGACCGGGAATTTATAATCATAGAAATTATCGCCACCCTGATTTCTATTCAATCTTTTCAATTCTTAATATAATTTTTTTCCATTTAATTTTGTTGGAAAATCCGGCCTCGGAGTACACTATTTTTTCTGATTTTTTTTTTGTAATTACTATTTTTTTCGACTTATTTGAATAAGATTCGACTTTTTCTACTTTTTTTTACAAAATTTTGAAATAAAATACGTATTTTTTAGTATATAATGCAAATCTTGTTTATTTCAATTATTTAACAAATTTTTAACTAAAATTTTTCTCGAAATTAATTATTTTTAATAATTTTAATAAAATTCTTCACAAATTCAATTATTTTGCAATTAAAAATTTTATGAAATTCAAGAATTTAAAAGAAAATCAAAAATTTCAATTTAAAACCTTTTAATATTTATTATTTTTAAAATTTTCCATCTAAAATTTCTTCAAATATAATAATTTTAATTATTACTCTTATGAAATTCAATTACTTTTAATAATTTTTATAATATTCTTTTAAGATTTAATTACTTGAAAGCATTTTTCAACTAAAAAAAATTTTGAAATTGAATTTTTGTCTCTAATTTCAAAAACCTACAAATTCATCAATAATTGAAATAAAAAAAATTCAATTATTTCTAAAAACTTCAACTATAACTCTTCTAAAGTTGAATTATTTTTAATAATTTTAATATTTCTTTAAAAATTAAATTATTTAAAAAAGTTTTAAATAGAAACTCTAAAATCGAATTGTTGTCAGAATTTTTTTTAAAAGAAATTTGTCCTACTTAACTAAAATTTTAAAAATTTACATCTTCAATTCTAAAATATGTGTAATAAATTTTCTTGATAATATTCCTATAAAATTATTCTTGTTAGGAAATTAATAATAATAATAATTTTTAGTTGTTCAAAAAGATTTAAAAAGTTCTTTTTCAAAAGATTTTAAATTGAAATTGTTATTTGCTGAAAATTTTTTCAATTTCTGTGAATAATAAAATTTTACAGAATTTTGAATTAAAAAATGAAAATTGATTTTTTGAAAAATCTGATGGAAATTATTATTAATTATTAAATTATGAAGTTTCGATTTTTTGGAAATAATTGATTTTGAAGTAAAATTTTTTGTAATTTTATTTGCTGAAAATATTATTTTTTTTTATTTTTCGAAATTTGAAACAATTATTGAATTTTTTAAAATATTTAACTGAAGAATATTTTCTGATAATTGAATTTTTGAATAATTAGTAAAATAATTAAAATAAAGATTTAAATTGTATACTAAAAAAGACGGTATTTTTTTTTTAATTTTGTAAAAAATTTAACAAAAAGTTGCATTTTTGAAAAAAAAAGTTGGAAAAAAACGTACAAACCGAATTCTGTTTCTTGAAAAAAAAAAAATTTTTTAACGTTAAAATAGGTAAACAATTTTATCATAATTCATCTTAAATTTTAATTTTCAAAAAATTCGTAAATCTTGAAAAATGGTATTTTTTTATAATTTTAGAAAAAAGTCAGTGATTTCACCAAGTTAACTAAATTCTCGTCATTTGTCCTGTTTTTAAGGTTGGACGGACACTATTTTAATAAATAAATCAAACTAATAATGAAATTAATAACTAAGGAATAAAAAAAAAAAAATGTCATCGATAATAATTTCTATTTACAGAGCAGTGGAATTCAATCCTCACGTTCCCAAGTACCTTTTGGAAATGAAACCATTAATATTGCCGCCTGAACATGTTTTAAAACGTGGCGACTCTGAGGCAATTGCTTATGCGTTCTTTCATCTTTCACACTGGAAACAAATGGAGGGAGCATTAAATTTACTGCATTGCACGTGGGAGGGCACATTTAGAATGTTACCCTATCCATTGGAACGTGGACATTTATTTTATCCCTATCCAACATGCACAGAATGTGCTGATCGTGAACTATTGCCAGCGTTTCACGATGTCAGTGTCTATCCAAAAAAAGAGTTACCATTTTTTATTTTATTCACCGCCGGTTTGTGCTCGTTCACTGCATTGGTAGCACTCTTGATACATCAATATCCAGACACAATGGGTGTCGTTGCACGTGCAATGCTCGCCTGGTTTTCTCTTCCATTTTACTATGTAATGGATAAACTCGAGACAGTTTTGCCCTCGAATCTTCTACAACAACTTTCAAGAATATAAAAGATCTTTACAAAGAAAAAAGATCCAAAATCTATTGTGATATTTGTAGTACGATTTCTTTATTTTCAAAAAAAAAAATTATTAATTAACAAACTAATTTTTTAATAACAATTCATTATTAATTGTTGATAAATTGATTGTTAATTAATAATTATAATCTATGTGAGAATACGGATGACATTCTTTATTAGAGATTACAAGAAAAAAAAAAGTTAAGTTATATTAAACAAATTGTTTTTTATTTTGTATCTACATTTTTGAAATGTAGTCACAAGATTGTTTGAAAGCTGAATGAACAATGAAAAAATGAATTCCATATTTTATTTTATTCAGGACTGATAATACTCTTGTATTTATTATTATTATTATTATTTCTATTATTTTTATTATTTATGAGCGAGTTAAGTCAATCATAATTCCATCAAAGAAAAAATTGTACAAATAAAAAAAATCCATGTGAAAAATATTCTTATTTTTTTTAATTTCCAATATGACTACCTAACCGAGAGAACTGGGAAAAAGTCGGCACTGAAATTTTACACCGGGAGATTTTTTCAACACCCCGTTTACGAGATATGAATTTTTCAAAATTAATGATTTTTTATTTTTAAATAATCATAACTTTTTTTTATAAATATGCATCAATTTTAAGATTTTGTTTTTTAAATGTGTGTTTTTAACTGAATTTTTCAAAAATTTCATGCAAAAATTTATACAATTAAAATTCACTATATTTTTTTGTAATTCAAATGATAAAATTTTGTTTTTAAAACTTTTTGTATTCTTCCATTTCTTTTTTTTTCAAAAAAACTACTTCCTTTTACAAAAATTTTAAGTCTGGTCTGGTCGTGGGAAAACGATTTTTTCAATATTTAAAAAAAAAAATATGGGTATTATGAAAAGAAAAAATTATTTATGGTATACATTACAGTTTATTGTTATCGATACAAAGCTATTCTACAAGCGCTTTCAAAAATGATTACACTCCCAATGCCGCTGTCATGCACCTTTCATCCTGCCACAATTTTTCATTTTTTTTTTTTATTTTTTTTATTTTATTAATTATTAAAAGCTATATATTTATATATAATTAATCCGGAATGAACAAATTCGGTTTGAATTCCAGAGGCACAATCACTTGCGCCACAAACTTAAATAATATATGACAATTTTTTTATTTGTAAATTCAAACGAAACAGACGAAAAAAGAAACAGTACAACGAAAAAAAAAAAAATTAAATCGAGTCCAGTCCGCATCTAGCACTACTATATCCGATAATTCTGGATTTTTCTACTTTCATATTATAATTGACTGGATCCAGTCAGTCTTACAAGAATCTACGCTTCCGATGTTTTACTTTTTTTTATTTTCATTTTTTTTTTTTTTTTTTTGTTACCTCGTAGATACAAAAAATTCATAAACTAACATTTTAATATAGGCAATATAAACATGGAAAGCAGTATCAACTTCTCAGATAAAATCTTATTTCCTCAATTATTTACTATTTACAGATATCACGTTTTCCCCAAAAAATCATCACATTCAGAGTTGTGCATTTTTTTTTATATATATATGTATATATATATTATAGTTAAAATGTCAAAGCTTTCTTTTTTTTTATTCATATTAAAAACTTCCAATTCTTTCTTTTCTATTTCGTCCACTAGATATTTTGAAAGAATTCGAAGCCTTTTTTTACAATTAAGTTTTCTATTTAAGAGTCAATACTTAAAAAAACGGAAAAGAAAACGTTAAAGCTGCCCAACTCTGAGTGCAGCGTATTAACAATAAATGGATTTTTTTTCTCGATTATCCAACACTTAATCTCAACGATATTCTTTTTTTTCTCCTCGAAACAGTCAAAAATTTAATTTTGGCCCATTTATGATTATTAAAAACAGGACAAATGTTTCAAGAAGCTTTTTTTTTTTTACAATAATTTCATTATTTTTTCATAATATTCTTTTCCTTTGTCGGTTCTTAAGGGTTTTCACGCAATTTCAAAAATAAAATTGCTTTTGAAACTAAAAATCAAACAGTAGAGTGTTTTTTTTTTAATTAATTTTTGCGATTTCAGTTTTTAAAGAGGAAAAATTCGAAGTTTCGTATTTGTAATAACTATTTGGAAGATAAAAAGTTTTTTGACATCGAAAGAAAAAAAATTTATAGAATATAAAATTTGATAATGACGTTAAATTAGATTAATTAAGGTTATGTAGGTTTTCTCGCAAAATATTTCTAAAAATTTGTGAAAAACTCAAAAATAGTATAAGAATTTGTTGTCATGTACCAGATTATATTAATATTTTATCATAAAATTGATTCCATATTTTTGGGGAAATAATCAAAATCGTATTGCCAACATATTGAGTTTTCCTCAAATGTGCAATTTTTTAAAAATAATTTTTTTGGCAAAATATTATTAATAAATTTTGGCACATGACAACGAATCTTTATTGTATTATTTTTGAGTTTTCGAAAAAAATGTAAAGGAGAGACCTTTAATTATCGCCCTATAAAAACGGCACTGAACGTGAAAATGATAAACACCGATTTTTAAATACTCTTTTCTCAAATCACGGACACTTTTTACAAAATCGGCCAAAATAGCAAGGATCCTTATTTTATATATTTCCTCTATTCGAAAGATTGTGCGAATCGATAAAAAAAAAAACGCGATTGCAAAACGAAAAGTAATATAATAACAGCCGCTACTTTGTGCTCCTTGCAAGTTCTGCCATCTGACGGCGACAGAACGTAATGAACCTACTTTTTCGTTTTTCAATTTCGTTTTTGTATGGAATCGCACAATCTTTTGTATTTAGGAAATATATAAGATAATGATCCTTGGTATTTTGGCCGATTTTGTAAAATGTGTTCGTGATTCGGGAAAAAAGTATTTTAAAATAAAAATGTTTATCATTTTCACATTCAGTACCGTTTTTATAGGATGATAATAATTAAAGGTCTCTCCTTGTCAAAGAATTTCACTGACCGTTCGACACTCTAAATCAATCAAATATTTTACGAGAAAACCCGCGGAGAATAATTACATATGAAATCACAACAATCACATAACCTCAATATGAATAAATTAACGTAATGTTAGAAATTCAATTTTCTTAGAATATTAATTAAATAAATCATGTTTTTTTATTTCCAAAAAAGGAAATATTTTTCTTCTAGTCAATTTCTTTGACAAGAAAATTGTATTGAATCGATATATCGAACAACTGACGGAATTCGATTGTTTTCAATGGTACAACAAATCCTCTGAGTCAAATTTTACACTCGTTCGATATGTGAATCATAATACCCTTAAGATTTTGTCAAAAAGAAAAGAAAATGTACAAATTTCATCAGAATGATGAAATTCGAATGAAAAATTTGACTATTATTTCTATTATTTAAAAAGGCGAAAAATCTGAACGAATTGTTATCATCGCAAGATTTTTCCGCGCGAGATAATTTAATAACATTGACGAGCGTTTATTTATTTTTTTTTTTTTTCATAATTATGAAATATATATATATAGTTTAAAGTTATTGTAGCTCATAAAGAAGCGAAAGAAGGAAAACGGACCGGAAACACCGACATGAGATGTTTACTATTTTCTTTTTTATTTCACCTAATTGTCTCAAGGGAATTTCCGATCGGCTTTATCTCTCGTGAGACGGTTATCGGTAGAAAGAGAAGAGATAAGACACTTGGAAGTCGGACAGCCCAGGTCATTCGCCTTCTGGGTTGGCTCGCGGTGACTTTGATTTCTTTCTTACATTATATAGACAATCAGTTTTTTCTTTCCCTTTTTTTTTGCAGCAGCAGCATTTATATGTACAAACCACTTTCTTATAATTTACTTATATTATTGAAAAATAAAAATATTTAAAAATAAATGAAAAATAAAATATAATACAAAAGAAAAATATAATATGCACATATATTTAATAATTAATAAAATTGTCTTACTCTCGCAGATGCATTTGCTGATTTTGTCTTATGAATATATAAAAAAAAGAAACTTGTTTTGAATACAGACTCGCACGATTAATATACGTTATATTCATATATATAATATATATATATATAAAGTAGGAAATATTTTGAGTATTCGGCTCTCCTTTCGCGAATCCGCAATTTTTTTTACTTTTTCTATTCTTCGGACTCGACTGCCTTAAAAAGGTGTTTCACTTTCTTAATATAGTCTCAAACGAAATAAAACCGTTTATGAAAATGTCATAAATATTAATAAAATGTATTTTTTAAAATAAACTTTTAAAAATTAATAAAGTTAATAATCTTTGAAATAAAAGAATTTTATAATTAATTTAAAAGAATCACAGTTAAAAAAATTGTTTTGAAACCACAAAATTTTTTTCTTTAGTTTAAAATAAATTAAACTTTTCATAAACCGTTCTTCACTTTGAAATTCTATATATACAAATGTGAGAAACAACCTTAAAATTAAAAACTTGATTTCTATTCTCGATTGTATAATTAATAATTAATGGAAATCTATCTAATTATAAACGAAGGGAAAATTCGTTTCTCTGTTGCGCGCAGTTAATATGTACAAATTTAATAAGATTGTCCTGCTCGGAACGTCAACAGAATTTTTATAATGCGCCAACCGCATTTTTTTTTTACTTCGCACAAGTATAAGATTTGATTTTTCGTTTTCATTCTTTTTTTTGCCGTTTTTTTTTCTCTACATAAATAAGGCACCTTTAACGAATTATATATTAGAAACTACAACGACATAGCAATCCAATATATTCAGTCGGCGTTTAAACGCTTCGATAATTTAATATAAGATTTTTTTTTCTTTCTTTCCACACACACATACAAGAAACTACATATCAATGACTATGTAAAGTAAATATGTCTCTTTTAAACGTCACAATTGCCGTTTAAAACGAGGCGATTTCAACTAGATTATAATTTAAAATTTTATTTAAATATTAATTTAATGAAAGTAATTTAATCATTTCGATATGAACACATTCGTTCTTATTTAATTTATTATTATTTAATTTATTCTTCTTTATTAAAGAGATTTTGAATTAAATTTTATTAACTCGAAATTCATTTTTCGAGATTTTCGTTTCTTTTTATTTTCTGTTTAATATATTATTTTTAATTTTTTTTTGGAATGCTATGAAGTGTATTTCAAAAGCACGGAAGGGACGTTTTATTGAATTTAGAGATTGCGTAATTTATCTCGCTTATGAACAAGGGTTAAAAGTGAAAATTGTTCCTGTTTTTTCTCGTACGAATTAATTCTATCTAAAAAAAAAAGAAGAAAAATTAAAAAAAATTAAAAAGAAAAAATAAATTTCGATTATAGTGTGCCATTGGCGAAATACTGGTATCGATCGTAGAGCTTCGTAGACCAGGAATGAATGCTGCCTTCGACTAAATCCTCCACGTGCCGACGCAGTTGATCCTCCGTCAATGTCAAATGGAATCTATTTTTTAAACCCTGAATTGTCGCTGCACCACCGCTGCGGAAACACGGAAGCTGGGACCCTGAAAATAAAAATAAATTATCACAAATCTTCCATTAATATACCTAATTAATTTTATAATTAATTAAATTAACTTTTATTTTTACATTACTTCGAACTTTCTTAAAAACATTTTCTTTAACAAAATATATTTAAAAAAAAATTATAAAATTTTTTGTACGGAAAATTGAAAACCAACCTGATAGCATGATTTCCACAAGATTGACAATTTTATCCATATGTTTACGTGCAGCAATGAGACCCTGAAGTATGAGTGACTTGAATTCTTGGAACATTAATGAATTATTGCCGCCCATTATTTCGACAAATTCAGGTGTCAATTTAAATGGACTCGTTTCAAATCCCAAATTTCGCGGCGACGTTGAAAGAATAAAACCAAAATCAATGTGCATTAAATGTCCATCGGTGTGAAGTAAAATATTGCCATTGTGACGATCTTTCACTTGAATTAAATAACAAACAAGACAATAAGCCGCACAACTTTCAACAAAATTTTTTTGAGCGATTCGAAAACCATCTGAATTCACTGGGCCAAATTCACGTTCAAAATATTGCAATAACGTCAATTGACAATGTTTTTTCACTTGATGTAATGAAACTGTATTGAGAATTGGCTCGATTAATCCACTGTCATTTGAAAGACATAAAATTCTGTAAAAAAAACAAAAAACAAATACAAATAATTAAAACATTTTATACGAAAAAAGAAAAAGGAAGTTAATTCATATAATTAGTTTAAAAAAAAAATTAAAAAATAAAAACTGAAGAAAATATTGAATGAAAAAAAAACTTACTTGTATGGTCGAAGCCAAAGGGGAACGTCCTCATCTTGCCAAATTTTTTGCAACATCGAAAGAAGCTGCGATGCAAGAAGTTCCTGTCTGAGATCATCGCCACATTTAACAATGACTGCCAGCAGTCGCCAGGAAGCTAAATGCCCATAAGGACTCGAGGCCCTTATGCGTTTTTGTTTTAATTCCCAAGGTTCTTTAAGAACCGCCGCCGAAGGATCCTCCGGGTCATGATTGAATGTCGTTTTTGGAGTCGCTGCCATTTCGCTTAATCGTCGTTTTATGTCACCTGGAATAAATATTGGCTCCCGACTATCCGAGGACTCCTGACTCAATTGGGATATTGTATCTCTGTCTCGTGGCTTGTGTAACTGTAAATACTGCAACACAAAATTTTCCCATCCTTTTGTTAATAAAAAAAAAAAACTGATTATTATAGAAAAGAAAAAAATTTAACAGTAATTTTGAAAAATTTAAATAATATTTTCTAAGGAATTTTTCTAATCGATATCGATAATACTTTTTACTGTATCAATTTTAAGTGTTATTCAGCTATTTCTGTGATAATTAAAATTTTAATTCTGACTGAAGATATTATTTCTCTAACGTTTGGATTTTTTTTTTGTTTTTAATGTTTAATTTATTTTATGACAATTGTGAGAATGACTGATTGCTAATTTTAGTAAATTTATTTTTTTATGTATATTAATGTTTTTTATTCTTTTTGTATATTATGTTCTTTGTATAATTTTGTATTTTTTGTATTTATTTTATTTATTTCACTAATTTTCTTTTATGTTTTCGATTTTAACAAAGGACCCCGCACGTTTTGCATGGAAAATGGCTTTCAGCCAATTTTTCTGAAACTGTGTAGTTTTGTAGTTTAAGGCCTCCTGAACAAAAAATGTTAATGGCAAAACTTAAAATAATGGACAGTTTTTTTGCTACAATGGCTCAAAGTTAAAAAACAATAGCATTATGGGCATAGACTTTTGTGAATTTAAAACTTTTAAAACTTAATTAAATCTGCTTAAAACTCGTTACTCGGGGGTTTTTGGGGTCGCTGATTACGAAACCGAGTTTTGTTTTTTAAAATTCAAAATGGCGGATCCAATATGGCGGACGACTTTCCTAAAATCTGATTGAATTCGCATGAAACTCATCACTCGGGGGTTTTCGGGGTCGCTGATTACGAATCCGAGGTTTGTTTTTTAAAATTCAAAATGGCGGATCCAATATGGCGGACGACTTTCCTAAAATCTGATTGAATTCGCATGAAACTCATCACTCGGGGATTTTCGGGGTCGCTGATTACGAATCTGAGGGCTGGTTTTCAAAACTCAAAATGACGGATCAAAAAAGGTCGATGATTTTAAAAAATAATCATTGAATTCTCTTGAAAATGGTTATACGGGGGTTTTCGGGGTCGCTTATTATGAACGTGAGGGCTGTTCTTCAAAGCTCAAAATGACTGATCAAAAAAGATCGACGACTTTCTGGAAAATCGCTTGAATTCGCCTGATTTAAAAGCCAATGACTCCATACTTAGGTACTTTGCCAAATTGTAATAGTTACAGTAACGTTAAAATCGTGATGGTATTGCAGTACTTCTCAAGAGTACGCTCTTTCTTTGCATCCCAGTCCTTCCGACTACATACTATCGAAACAAAAACGTAAGGTTCAGTATGTCCCTTTTCCGTTTTTTTTTGGTTCACCTGGGCTTAATCTATCAGGTCCTGAAGAACCTTTAGTCTGTACTTGATCGTGCGATTAATGTTGTTTTGAATGTCACAAGATTTTACCATCTTGGCAACTTCCTTCTTGATTTTCAGAAGAAACTTAGCTTCCTTTTTCCGAAATATAACGCATTTAACGCTGTTTTCGTTAATGATCTTGTTGTCCAAATCAGACGGAATCAGGCTTTAAGCGCTTTTTTCGCTGTTTACATTGAGATTTTAGGAATGTCGTCCGCCATATTGGATCCGCCATTTTGAATTTTAAAAAACAAACCTCGGATTCGTAATCAGCGACCCCGAAAACCCCCGAGTGATGAGTTTCATGCGAATTCAATCAGATTTTAGGAAAGTCGTCCGCCATATTGGATCCGCCATTTTGAATTTTAAAAAACAAAACTCGGTTTCGTAATCAGCGACCCCAAAAACCCCCGAGTAACGAGTTTTAAGCAGATTTAATTAAGTTTTAAAAGTTTTAAATTCACAAAAGTCTATGCCCATAATGCTATTGTTTTTTAACTTTGAGCCATTGTAGCAAAAAAACTGTCCATTATTTTAAGTTTTGCCATTAACATTTTTTGTTCAGGAGGCCTTAAACTACAAAACTACACAGTTTCAGAAAAATTGGCTGAAAGCCATTTTCCATGCAAAACGTGCGGGGTCCTTTGTTTTTATTCTTGTTCCAATTTGTACCTTTATTATATTTTTTAAATTTGTCTTTATTTCAATTTATTTAAATTGTTCCATTATTAATTTATTTTTTGTTATTAATTCTCGTCTCATAATAATTCAATTAATTAATTTATTCTAAACCTCGCATCGAAATTAAGAAACAAAAAAAATTTCTGAAAACAATTTAATTTTAGAGTTTTTATTTAAAACTTTTTTAAATAATTGAATTTTCAAAGAAATATTAAAATTATTAAAAATAATTGAACATTAGAAGAATTATAATTGAAATTTTTAGAAATAATTAAATTTCAAAAGATTTTGTTAAATTTTAGAGAATAATTTAATTTTACAAATATGAAAATAATTTTTGATAAGATTTTTGAAAAATAATTGAATTTTTAAAGATTTAGAATTCAGACTTTTGAAATTAATTAAACTTCAAGTGATTTTGAATTGAAATTTTTTTGATGATAAAAAATTTATTAGAAATTATAGACAAAAATTGAATTTCAAAAGTTTTTAATTGATAAATGCTTTCAAATAATTTAATTTTCAAAGAATATTATAAGAATAATTAAAAATACAGTGAAACCTCGATTATCTGAACCCTCTGTTATACGAACCGTAAAATATGTTATCCGAACAGAATCTTAAAAATTTTTTTTTTCTTTTCTAATATTTTATCACTCAAATTTCGCTAAAGAACGAATAGATTCAATTTTTCAAAGCAAAATAACAAAATTTAAAATTTTGTAAAAAAATTAAAAGTCGAAAAAAGTCGTATTTTCAAATAAAAGTCAGAAAAAGTTGTATAATCCGAGGCTTGTTATTTTAATATAAAATTCTATTTTTTTTTTGTTTTAAACTCACAATAAGGAGTATTTCGGAAGAATCACACGAATATTTTAGTCGCTAATAATAAGAATAATTTAAAAAAAAAAAAATCGAAACCTGTTGCGTGATTTCGTCATCCTCTTGACTCCAACAATCATTAGGATCGTCATCGTGAAAATGAAATGCGATATCGGAACTTTTTAAATAAGCCGATGATGAGCCCTTGACGGGAGTTTGCCGCGCGATAGACGAGGGCGTGGTATGCTGGCTCGCCATATTTGGAAGGTTGGACTGACCAGAGCTCGACTGTTCTCCACCCGTCAAGTTTTCCTCGGACTTGGTGTGTCGTAAGGAACTACCCATTATTTTTGTTGGCACTGGCGAAGTATAAAGATCCTCAACCTCAAGGACCTCGACATAGATTATATAAGGAGCCTGTAATTAAATTCAAATTAAGTTTCATTAAATGACATACAAAAAAAGAAAAAGATACTTTTGAGCACAAACAACAAGAAAAAAGCACATGTCATACTTTATCTTTACTGTTGAGAACTGCCGCATATTGCGGTGGAACTCGAACAATGTGATGGGGCACTGTACTGTGCAAAGGAAGCCAAACTCTTGCCGGGAGATTCAGATTGAGAGTATTAAGTTCTGCTACAAGTTGAACTGTTTTGCTCTCCTTTGTGGGAATGGTTCCAAGTAGTTTTCCAATTGAGATTAACGCCTGAATGAACTCCAATTCGGGAGCCAGTCGGGGTGCCTGAAAGTAAAATAAATTAAAATTATTTTCAAATTTCATTTAAAATACTCAAAATCATTCAAATTCTAATAAATCTTTTTCAATATTTTGTTAATAGAGAAATAAATCAACAATTTTTGGACTATTTTACAAACTAATATCATTATTTGTAATTTAGAAAAATATATGAACGATTCCACGTGAAATTTATTTGTGACGAAATTTTTATATAAAAAATAACGATTTTTTAAATAAACAAATTAATTTTTTTTTAACTTTGGGCACGATTATTTTTATTATTTTTTTATTTTTACATACCTGGAAATACTAAAAATATTTTGCAAAAAGTTTTAAGGCTGATAATCCTTTTCGTTTAAATAATTTGTTTTAAAAAAATTTTTGTTTTTTTTTTATTTTTCAAAATGAAATTCATTTTAGTTTGCTTTTCTATAAGTAAAGTGAAAAATCCTAATCAAGGTTGGTACAAAATTTTTATTTTGTTTATCCCTGATTTCCAATCAGAATACAAATTTTTTTTACTAACCCTAATAAAAAAACCTTGCAAAATAATTAAGAATTTCATTTTAATTTTTAATCTAATTTAATTTTTAGAAGCAAAAGTTTAAATAGAAGATTTCAAAAATTATAATTTTAGTAGCATTTTTAGAAAATTTCCCAGTGGCAACCCTGCTAGTGAATAAAAAACTTTTTATTTTGAAAAATAAAACAACTAAAAAAGAAAAAAAAATTTTTTTAAACAAATTATTTAAACAAAAAGGATCAATAGACCCACTTTAAAATATTTTGCAAAATATTCTCAGTATTTTTACCTATATAAAAATAAAAAGAAAAGTAACTAAATTCGTGCCTAAAGTTAAAAAAATTAATTTGTCAAAAATTCCTAAATTTAAAACTTTTTTTTTTCATTGAAAATAGGTCTATTTTGAAAAAAAATCCGAAAAAATCCAAATCCTTAAAAATTTATAACTTGAAAATTTGGGTACTTATAAAAAAATACGTATACCACCACTTAAAAGTAAAATTGAAAAAAATCTATGGAAATTTTTTAATTATTTATTATTTCACTAAAAAATAAATAAAAAGTGAATTAACAAAAAAAAAAATAAATATTTACATAAAATTCTTAAGAAATCATTCTAGAGAATTTCTAAGAAAAAAAATTGCGCATTTAAAACATTGGCATTTAAACTCGTGTCAATATTTAGGTTTTAAGATTTGTAAATTACATAAAAATAATATCTGAATTTATCTCGATTTACCTTCTTCAATGTGTGTACTAAAATGTATGTAATCACCTGATTATTTAACGTTAAAAATTAAAGAAATCGTGATTACAGATTTAAAAATAAAAAAAAATTGAGATTATAAAAATGAATGTGCCTGATGTTTTGAAAAATTTATTTACTACTTTTTTACTTTCAAATTTTATAATAAAATATTGCTTTCTGTATTCAAAAATACATTAATAATTTATTAATTGTAAAAAATACGTTTTTATTATTCATTGCTGTAGTAATTTTTAAAAAAATTATAGACCAAAAAAATGATTGCGTTCATTTAAACGTTCGAAACTTTAGGCACATTAAAAATGAAATAAAAAAATTAGTAAAAAAAATGAATTGAGAATTACACTAAAAAGTTGTTTTAAATAAAATAAAATTTAAATACTGAACTATTTAAAAATTAATTTTTTTTCGTTTATTGAAAATTGAACTTACATTACAGAAGCAGTCAGTCTTCTGTCCTCGTAAGTCATTTACTACTCCTTGGCAGGAATCAAAACAGGTACATCCATTATCGAAAGCCCGGCCAGAACTAAGATCGCCAAGGCTTATTTTATTTATTAATCCTGTAAAAAGAAAAATATAAGCGTCAAGAAATGGAAAATTAATTAAAAATCCACCACATTCATTTAATGAATGAAATTTATCTTTTTCCATTTTAAATTATTATTTTTCTACAAATCATCGTTTCACGTGTTAAAAATAATTATACTTTCCAATAAATTATTTACTAACGTTAATTAAAAATATTTTTCTTGCAAAACAAAAAAAAAGCTTTATTTTTACTTTTTTAATTGAAAATAAAAATTATTAATTAATTTTGTAAAAAAAACAAATAGATTTTGTATATCTACAAAAAAATAAAATTAATAAACTTACATTCGCAAAAAAAAAGGTTTCATTTGTAGAAAAATAATATTTTCGCAAAAAATACTCAAATGAAAGAAGACAAAATAAATTTTTCTTGATAGGACATAAAAAAAAAAGTTAAGAAAATATTCGTCTATATAACAATATGAGAATTAGTGGATATTTTTGTTATCTTTTTCATTAATCGTTCATTTACCGGAATGGCTACGACGAAGAGATTGAAAGAGTCCAGTGGCGTCAGACTGAGATCTTTGGTGGGTTTTTTTGTTGGGAGACGTAACGCATTGAGCAGAAGGCAGAGGTGGTGGCGGGGGAACTTGCAAACCCGAGGTGCGATGTTTTCGCCAACCCGCGTTTCCCTTTGGCCTGAAAAAAAAACAATGTAGAAAAAATTCTAATAAGAAAACAAAAACAATTTATCTCATTTAGCGAATTAATTATTATTTAATTCAGTTATTAAATAAAAACTTTTCGCTTGTTTTTTACTACAATATTTTTTCTTCTTAATAAGATTAAAAAATTTTTTCATTTCATAAAACAATTTTTATTTTTTGAATTATTAAACCTAAATTCTAAACAATATTTTCGACCTTTTTTTTTCTTGAATTTAGAAAGAAAAAAAAATTATAATTCAAAAATTTACCTTAATTCATCAGACAAAATGAGATTTTTGAGCTTGGTCCCGTGAGACTTCTTTTTTGATGGTAAATGAGCGTCGGAACTGTATGCATCCAATAACCAGGCACATTTTAAAGAAAAATCTGCCGACTGTCTACACCTGAGAAGAATATAAATTAACGGCTCATTTAAATGACTGAAACACACTTTCTAATAGAGATATTTACACATGGAAAATGCTCTAATTGAAAGGGGATATTTGCCAACACTGTGAAATTACCAATAAATTATTTTCAATTTAAATATTTTACATTTCCATTCAATATTAAATATTTATAAATTAAATTTTGAATAATTTGAAAATATTTTGAAATTCATTTTTATTTGAATTAATTAATTTTGTAAAAATTTTTTAGTCAATAAAATATGGAAATAAAAAAAATATATAATTTAATAAAATGAGAATCTCACCTATGGACGAGATATGGATAAAGAACTTCGGTAACATCATATAACTGTATGTACATTAAAACCAGTTGCGGCAAATAGAAATCCACATCATTGTCTGGGAAACTAAACAACTTGTTACCTGAAATCATATAAGTTGGACAAATGCATTACCAACAAGTTCCTAATGCAAGAATAGATATTCTACGTTCTTAATCTTTAGAAATATATTCTATATATGCAAATTAACTGACTAACTATGAAATACTTTCAAGGAAATTAACGCATCACTGAATTGCGGATTCACCTCATAACTTATATATGAATAATTTCAAATTAATATATCTCTCTTTATTTATTATTAAAAATGTAAAATCTCATATTGATGAGAAATAAAAAAATAATAATTTAATCATTTGAGAAAAAAATAATTTAACATTACATTTCAATTAATTTAATTTAATTCAAAATTCATTTAATTCAATGGAAATTTAAATTTACTAAAATTTAATTAATTGAAAATGAAATGAAGTATTTTTCGTTCAAGTTTCAATTTTCGCTTTTAATTAGAGAAAAGAAGAGAATATATGTATATAGTAAAAGAGAACAAATTTTTAATTAAATGACAATAAAATGAGAATAAAAAAATTGAAGGCAATAAACATGAGAGTGTTTCCATTATGCGTCATTTTATTGAAAAATACTTGGAAAAATTATTAATTTTTAGAAAAAAAAAAATAAACTTAAAAGTAAAAATTTTGTCACAGATGACTTCATTGGAACGAAAACCTTGGTCATCGAATAACAAAGCGAGAAAAAATCTATCGACCGTGATAATAAATTTTTATCTAAATTAAAATTAATAGTTATTATTATTATTTTTTAAAAAAATTGTAAATTTTTAAAATTATTTCTTTATTATTATTATTATTATTATTATTATTTGAATTCCGCAATACTGGCATTAAAAAAAATACATGTAACTGATACTTGATAAGTTTATATACATTATCTACTAAAATTATATATTGTCATGGATTACCTTGAGAGATACAAGAATAAAATGATCAATTTCAATTACATTCAGAGTTTTTCTTTTTTACTTTTCATTGCATTGAAGAAAAATGTAATATACATATTGTAATCTAGATAAATTATCGAACATAAAAAAAAAATATTCCATTTTCTATATGAAAGGCGCAATTTTTCTTGTATCTATTAATTTCTTATCAAAGCAACAAAGTTAATTACTTGAAACATATACAATATATATTTATAAGTAAATGGTTAGGAATTTCTTTTTCAAAAATTATATTATATTTATTATCGTACTCCAAGTGAAGAAAAATATTCCATTTTTTTCCTTTTTTTAAATATATTTAAATTCTTTAAAATAAATTGTTTATATAGTCAAACATTGTATGATAACAAAGAGAAACGATTCAAAAAAAAAGTATAAAACTTCCACTGAGAGTTGAGAAAAAAAATATTTTTCAATTTATTCACCATCTTCAATCTAGTTATTTTTCAAAATGTAAACAACATATTTTCATTAATTTTTTTTTTCATTTTTAAATTTTCTACTGTTTCATCTATTTGTTTTATTTTTTGTTGACATTTTATTTAATCGATTTTCCGCTCATAATTTTAAACAAACACTTTTCTTGCGTGTATTTATATTTACATCATTAAAAACACGAAAACAAATAAGGGTAAATATCGAGAATTTTTTTTTCTCATTTATTTATGTCTGCAAACTCTTTTCATTTTATATTTAAATTTTTTATTTTTATTTATTATTTTTAATTCTTTTTTTTCTCATTTTTATGTTGTAATATTTTTTTATAAACTTTCTATAGGAGATACCTAATTATTTTATTGACATTTTTTTTTTTTTTTACTTTCTACTCTGTTTAAAGATATTTTTAATATTAAAAGCTTATGCAATAAGGTTTATTTATTTATTTATTTAGTTAAATGATTAATCTTTCTCAAATATTTTTAAAAAATAGTAAAAATAAATTGTTAATTTTTCTATTATTCTAATTCAGATTATCGGCAAAATTTTTAAAATGAAATAAAAAAAATTAAATACATATAAAATTTGAAGTTAAAAAAGTAGTAAACAAATTTTTCGTTCAGAACTTCATGTGCATTTTTAATCACTACACAATTTTATAAAAGTCTAAAAAAAATTCCATGGATTTTTTTTTTAAACTTTGATAAATTTTTCAAAAAATTTAATTTCTTCAGAAAATTTTATGAAATTTCAAAACGATTCCATGAAATTATTAAAAAATTTATTAATTTATCTAGATGGTTTTATAAAATTTCTATAAAATTCCACAAAGTATCTAGAGAAGGTACAAAAATGTCTCTAGATAAAATTTCATTAAGTTTCTAGAAGGTCCAATGGAATTTCTCTACGATGCTCAAGTCCACGTTGTTTATGATCAACAATTACAAAACAAAAAATAATTTATTTGAAAATGTTTTTTATATCTTTTTATAATTTTTTTTTTTATAATTTCTTGACAAATAATGTCGGTAGTGAGGAAATTGTAAGGGTCTTTGAAAAAGGCATAAAATGCAATAAATTATTATTGTTATTATAATTTTTTAACATTGTGAACTTTAGCATCATATTTCTCTTGAAATTTTTCATTTATTTTTTTCCAGTTTTTTAATTTCAAATTTTATTATAAAATATTACTTTCTGTATCCAAAAAATTCATAGTTTTTAATCTACTTTTTTTTATTTTTAATTAATTATGTGAAATATAATATATAAAATATGATTTACAAGTGCACCTGTTAAATAACCTGATTTTACGATTTTTATTCATTAATTGAGGACCTCGATTCTATAACTCGCTCTACGCTTGAAGCGGACGCCTTGAATCCAGTCAGATGATTCAAAAATGAAAAAAAAATAAAAGTCAAAATTTAAATTTTTTAAAAACGCTATCCTGTAGAAAATAAAAATCCCACCTTTTTTTCTCTCTTCTTCATAAGTATAAAAAATTTTAAAAAGTAAAATAGCCTATTCATTTTCTCTATTTTTGAACATCAATAACTTTCTTGGAAAAAAATGAAAAAAGTATGGGGCTTCAAAAATTATTTAAATGAACACCCTAAGAAAAAAAAGAATTGTAAAGAATAATGAAACTGAAGTTACCAACGTTGATTCAATGAAAAAAAAAAATTTAAGGATTCTAATTCCCATCAATGTTTGATTATTTTCAACCCTCTGAAATCTGAAATAAAAAAAAAAACAATATTTATCATTGTTTTGTCACGGATTTTCCAAAAATTTCGAAATTTCAAGTAATTTTCATATTTCCTTGAATCGGAAGCAATTTTTCTCATTTGATAATTATTTGTTTCAATGCTAGAAGCATTTTAAAAGACAGAAAAATTGCTTTCAAGTCGGGGAAAGCAGTGATTTTGAATTTTTTTCGAAAATCCCGAAATTTCAAGTAATATGCTATGTCCTCGCTTTGGAAGCAATTTTTCGCGTTTGATAATTATTTATTTCAATGCTAGAAACCTTTTAAAAAACAGAACAATTGCTTCCAAGTCAGGGAAAACAGTGATTTTGATTTTTTTCTCACAGATTTTCTGAAAATCCCGAAATTTCAAAAAAAAATTCTATTTCCCCGACTTGGAAGCAAATTTTCTTTTTTTTTTTAAAGGCTTCTAGCATTGTAATAAATAATTATTAAACGAGAAAAATTGCTTCCGAGGCAAGGAAATAGTAATTTTCTTGAAATTTCAGGATTTTCGAAAAATCCGTGACAAAACAGTGATAAATATTGTTTTCCCCGACTTGGAAGCAATTTTTCTATTTTTTAAAATGCATCTTGCATTGAAACAAATAATTATCAAACGAGAAAAATTGCTTCCGATTCGAGGAAATATGAAAAATACTTGAAATTTCGAAATTTTCAGAAAATCCGTGACAAAACAATGATAAATATTGTTTTTTTTATTTCATGTTTCAGAGGGTTGAAAATAATCAAATTTCATTGATAGTTATTAGAATCCTTAAATTCTATTTTTTTGTTGAATCAACGTTGGTAAATTTAGTTTCATAAAAAATATGAAACAAAATTCTCACCTAAATAGCTTTGAACCCCAGGTTCCTTCGAGTTAAAAAGGTAAGAAATTGCCATGGACATGTCGAACACTTGGCTCTCAAATAACCTAAGTAAACAGCCCTCGGATGGTTTTGGCTGCGCCGTTTCCTGCCTTTGAACTTGCGGTTGTTCCTGGACAGATTCCTCTTCCGGTTCACCGGTACCGCAACACAATGTCATGGCAGCGCCTGCCAATTCATTTTGCGTGACATTCGCGCGTTGAACTTGAAAGTCCATGCTCTCAGCTTGACTGTCCCGCAGTTCTTTGGCAATGTAATAACAACTTTGCAGTTCTTTGGGAGAGCATTTGCCATTTGGCAACTCTTTGGCCACACAATCACTGCTCGTTAATAATTGATGATTAGAAGGAGCACAGTCACCGTTCCGAAGGCCCTTCATTAGAGCGTCACTGAGTTCAATGTCAATTGGTGATGCGGACATGACACTTGCACCGTCGCCGTCAACCGCATCAACGCCATCGAGATCGCCACCTTGCGACAATGATGAATCGAGACTCTCACGACTGTGAAGATGATCGACACTTGACTCTCGGGTTGTGGGATTTGCCGTGTCACTTGAACCACTGTCGGAGCCACAAAGAATACCCGAATCATCGGAGCCAAGACTCGCGAGATCTTCTCTTTCTCTGCATCGCGACTTACTCGACGAAGAGGCTTTTGTCGTTGGCGTTGGACTTGTTTCACATTCGGGACTTGGTGTCACGTCAACTTCTGGTATTCGTTGTAAAGCCGAGTCAAGGCTCCGATTCCTGTGATGCAGAGTCAGAGTGACGTTCGTCTGGGGTACGGGTGGCAAGAGAATACCCATGGATCTGAAAAATAAAATCAATATTTTCAATTTTTAAATTATTTTCAGAGCTGATGATAAAAGTCATGTTTTTTTTTTATTTACAGACCGAGGATTGACTTTAAGGAACAAAAAAAATCGATTTGTTTACTTTAAATAACTAATGTTATTAAATATTAAATCTATTTTATTAATTCTTCAATTTTAAATAAATAGGACAAAATTCTGAAAACAATTCAATTTTAGAGAGTTTTTTTTTACATAATTGAATTCTTAAAGAAATATTAAAATTATTAAAATTTGAAAGAGTTGTAGTTGAAATTTGTATATAATTAATGAAATTTCAAAAGATTTTGTTAAATTTCAGACAATAATTAAATTTTACATAATTGAAAATAATTTATGAAATAATTTTAGATAACATTCTTTTAAAAAGCAATTGAATTTTCAAAGATTTACAATTGAGATTTTTGAAAATAATTGAACTTCAAATGAGACAAAAATTGAATTTCAAAAGTTATTAATTGAAAAATTGCTTTCAAATAATCGAATATTTGAAGAATATTATAAAAATCATTTAAAATTATTAAATTTTGACATTTTTAGAAATAATTATATTTTAGGTTTTAAATTAAAATTTTTGAAAATAATTGAATTCAAGTGATTTTTAATTGAAATTTTTGGTGATTTCTTCTGTTAAAAAATGTATTTGAAATTGCAGACAAAAATTGAATTTAAAAATTTTTCAATTGAAAAATACTTTCAGATAATTGAATTTTCGAAGAATATTATAAAAATCATTAAAAATAATTGAAAATTCGGAAGAGTTATAATTGAAATTATTAAATTTCAAAAGGTTTTAGATGGAAAATTTTAGAAATAATTAAATTTTAAAAGGTTTTAAATTAAAATTATTGGTAATTTTATTTGAGAAATTTTTTTAAATTTTAAACGTAATATATTATTGAATGTCATAAAATTTTTAATTGAAAAATAGTTTAAGATAATTGAATTTGTGAAAAATTTCATAAAACTGATTGACAATAATTAATTAGAGAAGAATTTTAGTTAAAAATTTGTTAAATAATTGAAATAAAGAAGATCGGAAGAAGATCTGCATTGTATACTAAAAAAAACGTTTTTTGTTTAAAAATTTTGTAAAAAATGTCAAAAAAAAAACTCGAAAAAGTCGCATCTTATTAAAATAAGTCTAAAAAGTCGTATAATCCGAGGCCTGTATTTACATAAATTTTTTAAATATTTAAGATTGAGTTAATACAAGCATTAAATAATATTTTTATTTTTAACAAAGATATAGTAATTTTTATATTATAAAATTATAATTTTTTTTATAACATTTTTACTGTAAAACAAACATTAATTTTTACTTTAAAAAAAAAATGTTTAAAAAAATTTAATGTAAACGACCATTTAATTTTAATGTTATAACTTTTTTTTCAATAAAAAGTCTGCCTTGAAAATTTGTAACAGATATACACGTATAAAAAATTATTGATTATTTTAAAAAATGTTGATATTTCAAAAAAAGGCATTAGACAAATTTATTCATTTTTCCTATTGCTCAAAACCACTTTCAATTTTTAGGAATTAGTTTTTTTAAATCGGACTTTGTTAAATATAAATTCTAATAACTAAAGCTTCAGTTATATAAAAAAATCTATTCACTAAAATTCAAGTTATCATAAATTCAATATTAAACAAAAAAAACCGTTAAATAGAGATATTTTGTTTTATAAAAATTCTGTAAAATAAAAAATTTGTTTAAAAAAAATACAGTTAGCTATAAAAAATCGGATATACAAAATTGGATTCCATAGAAATTCTATTAAATAAAATTCAGAAATTCTACTTTTTCGATGGACCAAAATTTCGGTTTTCTCTACGTTAATAAAATAAATTGCACTATTTTACATTACATATTATTGAAAGTTTTGTTTTTAAATTTAATTAGTTTATATCTGTTTATTTCATTATTATTTAATTGTATTTGAGCGAAAAATTGAAGAAAAAATACGAAAAGAAAAAGTCACTAGAATTAAAAAAAAAAAAAGTGAAAGGAAAAAAAGAGTCGAATAAATAGAAAATAATCGCCAATAAAAAAAAAACACTAGAAGTTTAGAAAAATAAATTTAAGAATTTAAGGAAATAAAAATTCAGAGAAATTGAAAGAGAAATAAAGAATTTTAGAAATTTCAAATCATATCACACTTCAAGGGGGTGGGGTAGGGGTCTAAAATTCCAAAAACAAAAACTATGACATCATTCATGGCAGTCGTCTTTCAGGGAAAGAAAGTATATTTTTTATAACATTCACGGTTTGACAAAAACTTTCTGTTTACAATTCTCGACTAGAAAATTTCTATTCATAAAAAATATAGCTAAATTATAAAAAAAAAATTACAGAAAAAAAATATTTATTTTTTATAAGAATTCATTATTTAATATTTGCAATGACTAAAAATTTCTTAATATAAAAAAATTTTTTAATTTACAATTTAATGACTTTAATTTAATTATCACTTAAAAAAAAAAACTTTAAAAAATTTTAAGCAATAAAGAAAACTTAATCCCATCAACGTTTGTAAAAGTTGAGAAATTTTCAAATTTCTCCATGTTTTATATTACACTCTCATACTAAGTATATGTATATATAGAAAGGAGAGTTCTTTTTACTTAATATTCTGTCTAGTTTTTATGAAAGGAAAACTTTTTTAAGATAGTCAATTAAAAACTTGAATTTTAAAAGTACTTTGCATCGCGCATATAAGCTATGCAGTACAAAAAAAAAAAAAAAAAAGTTTCGTGCATCGCATAATATTAAGCAGCAATAGTTTAAATCTAATTTTCTACTTTATACCACATTCTTGTCGTGACTTTGTAAATCAAGGAAATTCCCAATTGCAAGTAACAGAATATAAAAATATTATTTTGTAGAGACCATTTCTCTTTTACAAGACTTAAAAATTTCTCAATAATTAGACCAATAAGAAAACTAAGTGTTTACAACATACAAAGAAATATTTTCTTTTACCATTCATTCACTTCCTGTGTTATAAATCGTTTTAATTTTTTTCAGTAGATTTACAAATTTTATGTCAATTAAAAAAAAAAAAATAATAATAATAATAATAATAAATTATTATTTATAGTAAAATTTTTTTTGTAGATAAACAATAAAATGGGATATAAAAAATGTAAAAATTATGACAATTAGTAAAAGATTAATTTTATCTCTTATCGCAATGATTATCATTATCAACATTATTTATCATCAATCTTACGTCAATATTAAGTTTTGTTTATTATTATTTTTTTTTTCATTAAAACAAGAATTGTATGTTCACTATTTTTAAAGATTTTCTAAATTTTCCAATATTTTATCAATTAGATTAATTTTAGATTATTGTATTTTATTTCTATTATCTCCTTTATAATAATAAAAATAATAAAAAAAATAATAATAATAAATTGTGTCATATTTAACAAAATCCTAACTAAAATTATCTTTCAATAATTTATTTAAACATGAAATAATTCTAAGGAAAATTTTTTAAATTCAAAAAATATTTCCAATTTTTTAACAATTTAAATTTACGTCGATGAAGTTCGCAACAACGTTTATGATCAACGATGGAAAGAAAATATATCAAAAAATAATAACTTGTAATTTTTTTGCCAACCAAATTTTTTTTTAAATTATTGATCAAGAAATGTTGCAAAAAATTTTTTAGATCAAAAATAATAATAATTTGCACTTTACCGACGTTCAAATTTTCTATTTCAATTAATTTCTATAAAAAAAATTAATTAATTTAGATACATTTCTATTTATAATAATTTTTTTCTTTTTTTGAAAGCAAACAATAAAAATTAAAAATTTCTCGAATTTTATTTAAGAATAGAAATATTCTGTAATTAAATATAAAACTGTTTTTTTTTCTTTTTCCGCGCTTAAAAGATAAAAAGAGATTTCCGGTTTAACGGTTTTAGAAAAAAAAATGAAACAAAAAAAAACCGCAATTCTATATTTGGCTCTCTCTCTCTCTCTCAGCTATATTAAAGAGAGTTTTAAAGTATGTGATAAATATTTGTCGAGTTTTTTTTAAAGATGAGTCAAGTACCTAAAATCCAAACTATGATTTCGTTGGTGTGTTGTTAGCCTGTTCCGGATGTTGACTGGAGGATTTGGCCTCCCATGTACAAGGGGAACATTACAGCTTGCTAATTTGTTCCTTTTGATATGTGTCAGATTTTCTTGACGAGTTTGTCCAGCATCGGACACTGGTGATACTGCTATTACTTTGCTCATATTAAAGTCAACTGAGCACTAGCTCGGCCAACAGTCATCTGCTGCTCATGATCAACTTCATATCTGAAACAATTAAATATAATCTTTATTGTATCACTTTTCAAAACCATTTTTTAATTCAATAATTTTAAATCTCATTTTCACTTTTTTTTCTAACAAAAAATGAATATTAAAAAAAAAAATTTTTTTTTCAAGAAACAATTTTTTACCTTTGAGTTTTTTTTTTAATTTAAAAATCATTTTTCTATTTAAATTTATCAACATTACAAAAGAACAAAATTTTACATTCTTTTTGTAAATACGTAATCTTCATTTTTTACATTAACAAGAAATTAATTTACGGAAATTCACACTGGCAAATATTCTTATAATATTATTGAAGAAAATATTTAAATAATTAATGGAAAACAATTTTTTTTTTCAAATTAATATTTTGATGACAAGATTAAAAATGATGAGACAATTAATTTCCTCTGTGGAAATAATTATTATTGCATAATTAACATGTTTATTCGTTTTTACATGAACACTAAAAGTGATATAAATTATTCTTATTATTAAAAGATTTTGATAAATAAATTATTATTAAAAATGAATATTTAATTCTTATTCATAAATTTTAATCAATAAATATTGAATAAATTTATATTAAAATGTAAAGTAATTTAAAATAAATGCATCAGAGTTAAAAGAAAGTATAATTATATTATTTGATTAATTTTACAGACATCTAAAAAAAGGAGAATATTATTAATTATATTTCCATTTTTAATTACCAATATAGTCAGATACTATTTATAAGTTTATATATAGTATATATTTTAATATTATAAGAATTATTTTTTTTATCGTTTCTTAAAAATAGTACAGAATTTTATTTTTTATTTCTATATAGAAATCTGCAACTGAAATAAAATCTTCATTTTTTATTTTACAAATTCAGGCCTAGGATTGACTATAAAACGCAAAATAAGTTTTATTCGTCTCATTAAATTATAACGTCGGTGAAGTTCACAACGTTTATGATCAACGTTTGAAAAAAAAATAATTTTCATTCGAAAAATAATAAATTTTGTTGCTTTCAAATTATTTTCTTTTAAAAATTGTTGATAAAAAAATATTATAAAAATTTGTTTAGACAAAAAATTATAATAATTAGCATAGAAAAATATTTTTTCTACTAAATCGTTGACCATAAACGTTGTAAACTTCACCGACGTAAATTATAAACGAAAATTGCAAAAAGCCGATATTTATATTTAAATATTTAATAAATACGTTATTCATTCCTTATTAACTATTACACATTATTATTATTTCTATTAGATAAACCAAATATTAAATAAATTAATTTATTTAAATAATTCTTTAATAATATTGTTGAAAATTTTTTTTTAACTTGAATTCAGCAAAAAAAAAAAAAAAAATTAAAAAAATTGTCAATTTCAGATTTACAAACATTTTTCTAAAGAGAAAATTATTTTAAAAAATGAGAAATAAAAGAAAAATACAAAAAAATCACTCTTAGCTCTGTGGAATTATAAATTAAATATTTAATTTAATTATTAGAAAAATTTAATAAAATGCACAATAATTGAATAAAATAAAACAATTAATCTTTCAAGTTTTTAATCAAATGAAAAAAATAGTTAATAAAAAGCATTGTCCAAATTAATCAAAAAAGAATTATGAGAATGACTTATCAAGTTTCATTGGATCGCGACCTTTACAAAGCAATTATTTAAATGAAAGAAAAAATCTCTACACATACACCTATATATAAAAGAGAAAAATAATAATTTGACAATATCAGGCCTCGGATTGACTTTAAGGCACAAGAAAAGTCGTTTTAGTTGATTTATGTTCGAAAAAAGTCGAAAAGTCGATTTTTTCAATTTTAACAAAATTTAATAGGTTAATAAATATTTTACTTTAAATAACTAATGTTATTAGATATTAAATTCATTTTATTAATTCTGTAATAATGGAAAATAATTGAATTTCCATCGAAGTTTTGAAAAATAATTGAATTTTAGTTGATTTTGAATTGAAAATTTGGAAAATAATTGAATTGTAGTTAATTTTAAATAGAAAAATTTGCAAATAATTAAATTTTAATTTAAAATTTTAAAAAATAATTGAAATTTAGTTGATTTTGAATTGAAAATTTTTAAAATAATTAAAGTTCAATTAAAATTTTGAAAAATAATTGTATTTTAGTTCAATTTTAGTCGATTTTGAATTTAAATTTGGAAAATAATTGAATTTTAGTTGATTTTGAATTGAAAATTTGCAAAATAATTGAATTTTATTTAATTTTAAATAGAAAAATTTGAAAATAATTAAATTTTAATTGACAATTTTGGAAAATAGTTGAATTTTAGTTAAATTTTAGTTGATTTTGAATTTAAATTTGGAAAATAATTAAATTTTAGTTGATTTTGAATTGAAAATTTGCAAAATAATTGAAATTAGTTGATTTTAAATTGAAATTTTTTTTAAATAATTGAATTTCAATTATAATTTTGGAAAATAATTGTATTTTAGTTAAATTTTAGTTGATTTTGAATTAAAATGTTTGAAAAAAATTTAATTTTAATTAATTCAGAATTGAAAATTTTAAAAATAATTGAATTTGAGTTTATTTTGATTTGAAATTTTTTAAAACAATTGAATTTTAGTTGATTTTGAATTGAAATTTTTAGAGATAATTGAATTTCAAAAAATTTTAGATGGAAAATTTTAGAAATAATTAATTTTTAGAACCTTTTAAATTGAATTTTTTGCAAATAATTAAAATTTTAAGTTGGTTTTGAATTAAAAATTTTTTGTACTTAATTTTATTTGCTAATTTTTCTTTAAATTGTAAACAATTATTAAATTTCATATAAATTTTAATTGAAAAATAGTTTAAGATAATTGAATTTGTGATGAATTTCATTAAAATTATTAGAAATAATTAATTTAGAGAAAAATTTTAGTTAAAAATTTGTTAAATAATTTAAATAAAGAAGATCTGAAGAAGATCTGCATTGTATACATACTAAAAAAATACGTATTTTGTTTAAAATTTTTTTTGGAAAAATGTAAAAAAAGTGGAAAAAGTCGCATTTTATTAAAATTAGTCGAAAAATGTCGTATTTTTGAAAAAAAGTCGGAAAAAGTCAAAGAATCCGAGGCCTGTTAATATAATTGAATTTCGTTTAGACAGTGAATAAATGTTGATTTATGTAAAGTAAAAATGAAGCTTAGAGTTATAAAAACATAAAATTTTGTTCACCTGATCAATATAATCTTTTAATTAGGTTAAAAGACTTCGTTCCGTGTCTTCAATTACGACATACAGGTATTAAAATGAAAGATGCGCAGATTTACACGTGAAATATTAATGAATAACAACAGATAGATAGATATTTTTAAAAATTTTTAAAACGGACAAAATTATAAATTTTTGTTTTTGAACATAAACAATTTAACTATACAGCTACTTAAAAAATACAGGAAATACAAAATAAATTGAACGATAATCACTACGGCTACAATAAAATAGTTATTCAAATATACATATTTAAATCAATTTACAACATAAATTATACAGTCGTACTATTTGAAAATTTATTACGACTATATATTAAAAAAAATATATATTTCCAAAATACTATACAAAAAAAAATTTCTACTCATACTTGAAAATTTATAAGAATGAAATTTTTATCGTTTATTTAAATAAAACACTTTTGCAGACGAAAGTGAAAACACACACACACACATAAAACAAAATTTTTGTGACGACAATTAATTATTTCACAAGTGACAGAATAATTTAGAATAAATTTGAATTTTAACGATCAAATAAAAATTTTGTTCGTTTAAACATTCAGTAGATTAAAAAAAAAATTGTTCCGACCATGAAAATAAAATTTGGAGTACATAAAAACTTTTTGGTACTTAAAAAAAAGTTATACAAAAAAAAAAAATTGGTATTAATAAAAATGTTCAACACTTTCAAAAAAAAAAAGTTTTACACTTAAAAAAAAAGGTTCAGTGTAATAAAAAAAAAGTACAGTGGAAAATAGTGAAAAATTCGTTAAATTAGGAATAATAAAGTCATGCTTAGTTAACACAATGAGAATCTCTAGGTTTAATAACTATTTTTCTCATGTTAGCCGCGTGAGAATCAGAACACGTATTTTCAGCATTCTCAGTCGAATGTTTATATACTAAAACACGTGTCTCAATTTCACAAATGTAAATATAAATTATTTTACTTCTTTGAATATATCCGTAAAAAAGTAAATTCTTCAAATTATCATATAATATAGACGTAAATGCTTGCAAGATAACACTTATTACTGATAATGGAAAATTTTCAAAATTCGTACTCATAGAAAATCTTACAAATATGAAAAAAAAATACAAATAATTAGAATTTTGTTACAAAAATAATTTAATTTCTTACAAATTTTTTTGTTAAAAAAATAATTTATTTTGCATCAATTGTAAATTTTATCAAATATTTTTAATGCTGCAGAATTAGGTTTCATTTAAATTATAAATACCAACCGATTAAATGCGTATTTGTATTTATTGGAAATTAATTTCAATATTTTGTTTGTCAATTGTGAAAAAATTGACAAATTACATATCTCGCGAAAAATTGTCCTTTTTTTTTTAAAAAAAAAAAAAAAACTTTGCAACTGAGAATTGGCATTGTCGAGGTGTGAGTGGACAGGTACAAAATAGGTGAGACAGGTGTATATACATTTGTACAATGTGAAAGTCGAGAGGGGCTTCTGAATGGAATCTAGGCTATGGCATTCCTCTCTTGTGATTTTTTTTCTCAACTCTGATCACTCGTTTCACTGATTATTCTGCACTCTTCTGTTAAGTGGAAATTCAAAGCTTTTTTTAAAAAAAAAACGAATATAAATGAAACACTATGCGTATTCACATTCTTTATTAAAAACCCATTAAAAACACTTTTCTATTTGGATTTCACGTGGAAATCAATTATTTTAACTATTAATTTCACAAATAT